ATATATATATATATATATATATATAGATGGCACAAAAAAGCCTTTCTGAATTTACGCATCCTCGCAATCTGGTCGATTGTAGCCTAGCGAAGAGGACACAACACCTTTCAAACAGGCAGACTCGCGGCTGCGCCTCGGTTTTGGGGCTACGGTTTGGGGTAATTGTGTTGAGATTGCGTTGAGGCCCAGGAGTTTTCGCTTTGTGCTGTCAGGATGCATGGCATGCAAGGTATTTGAAAAAAAGATCGACACACATGACGCAAGTGCAATCATCTCAGTCTGTCTGTGGGTTGGATCGTGCGGTGGGTAGCCTTAATGGGGACCCCTACCCTATAATGGGCTATATAATGGGTATATTATAGCTATATTATATAAGGCTATAATATATATATATATATATATATATATATATATACATATATTATATTATATATATATATATATATATATATACCTAGGGGTCCGTTGCAAAATCCCAGCTCTGCCTCGCCTCGTTGGGGCGGAGGGCGAGATCCAACCCAGCTCAGACGGAGAAAGCGATCAGTGCCACGCCTGGAAGCCTCAGCAGGAGTCCCAGGAAGCCAAAGAGTCGACTCCTTGAGGACTTCATCTCTCCGAAGAAGAACGTCCCGATGAAGAGCCCCAGAATGCCTGGCAGGCTCGCGACGATGGGAAAAGCGACGGAGAAGCCTAAGATGGCATTCGCCTGAAACCATGCGACTTGCGCAATGGCCCAAAGAATTCCTGATGCCAATGCAGGCATGACAATCTCTTTGGGCATGTAGCTCTTCCTGCGCATCAGTGCCATGTAGACCGTCAAAGCGAGAGCTGCTGTGGCAAAGATGCCAAGAAAGTGGCTCCACACAAAGTCCAAGATCTTTCTGCTGTGGCCCGGGCCAAAGCGGCCTTCAGCCAGGTCCGTGGGCAGGTCGAAGGTCGTTCCAAAAAAGATGCCGGCGAGAATGGCCAGGAAGATTCCCAGAAGGATCTCTCGCGCCTGCGGCGGCGCCGCGGCATCCTCGGCATCCTCAGCCTGCTTTGGCTTTGCCCTGTCGCTGTCCACACTTTGGCTGGAGCCCAAGCCCTCCAAGTCGGTGCTCGAGGAGGCCGGGGTGCTCGAGTCCGTTGATTCGGTGCGGCTTCGGCCAGGGCAGTCTTCGCCCACATGGGAAGGCGTTCCGTTTGGCTCCTGCTTGGGAAGATCTGCGTTGGCGGCCAATGAGAAGAAGAGGAGGGAGACTGCCGCCAGGGACACACCCAGACAGTTCAAACCAAGTCGCGACACAATCTCGCGGTGTACCCCGAACAGGCCGAAGAAGCCAGTAAACCAGCCAGTTATCATGTTGCTCAGGTCCCAAACAGTCAGCCCCAGTCCTAAGCCAACCAAACGGATGATGTAGGGGCACATGAGGTTCCCCAACATCCAGATGCAGCCCCCTATCGCTGCTAGCGGCTCGAACTTGGGCAGTGCCAGGACCGGGCTCGTCGCAATGCCTGTGATCACACCCACCAAGACGATTCCCAGTGACATCGCTGCAGCGAAAAACACACCGTCGCCGGTATCCATCCGCTTTACCGGAATGTAGTTCACCGCGAATCCTACACCGGCAACCGCACAGCAGCTAAAACCAATCAGCTGCTCTGCAAGCATGGCGGATGTCAACCGGAGTGGGCCGCCCACGTATGTCCAAAAAGTCTTGAGGAACAAATCCTTGAAGCGTATATAATAACAAAAAGGTATGTATGCACGACGAAATGCTCGAAGTGCGAACGTGATCGAGAGAGCATCGTTTAAGCAACGTCGAGATGCTGATGAAGTTGTCTTGGGCTTGGCTTTGTCTTGAAACAGAATTACTTTCTCTTCTGATATGCCGTCCGGTTTTGGGGCAGATGTTGCCCTGAAGCCATGCACCCCGCTACAGTTGCTGTGCTCGAGTTTCAGACATCTCCTCTGTACTCATATGTACTCATCACACAACACGGCACTTTACCAGGTCACTGCAGCAAGTCCACAGACCACAGACCCCGGCAGCCGGGGAAAGTGCCAATGATGTAGTTTCTTTTGGGTATACACACATATGTATAATGTGTATATACATATATATATGTATAAAAGAATCTGTTACACACATACACACATACACATATATATATATATATATATATATGCTACCCCCCCACTCAGGTACCCAGTTTTTCGTCTTTGTGCTGATAGCACGAAGGAAGTCGGACAGAAAAGGCTGCAAGTGCACGCGCATGCTCGCGATAAGCCGACAAATAGTACTAGTGGTGAGCGAGTGTGACAAACTGCAGGGTATGGCGAAGCAGGCCCCCTGAAACCCAGTAAGAGAAAGAGCTTTGCACGGCATAGAGGTGATACTGTAGCATCCCCAAGGCCATGCACGCAGATTTCGGATCAAGGTGGATAGTGGCTATGTTTAATTGGCTGTCGTCATGGTTTTTTACACACGCAACATTGCTGTGGTGGGTGTTGCAGTCTCTCACATGAATTGCTGTGTTCATTGGTTCATACAGCCATATATGGAATAAACCAAAGCAGTGTCATATAGTGTCAGTATACTTGTCAAAGCCTTTAGTCTCCGCAGCACTGTACAATGATTCATGCGTGTCTGTCAAATTAGCAGTCAATAGCCAATAGCGACAAAAGTATGAAATCGTGTTTCACGACGGTGTGTGCAGGCTTCGCAATTGTTACTGCAAGTATAGTCTCCATTGCCTTAGGAATCCGATCTCCGTTTCTTTTCCCAGTCATGAAACTGCTACATGTTCTGTTCTTCTATATCGAGCTCAAAATGTCAAGTGTGGTTTTAATATTACCTCTCACCATGTTGTTATCACATCTTGTAAAATGCCATTATTCCTGTTACAGTGGTTATCATACTTCACCAATACCAGGCCATTTAGGACCATGTACCACCCGGCTTGTTTCATTTCTGCATCAAATGTTACTGTGTCAATTACTGTTCTGATTGTTCATTCAGACTGCTTCGTATATTGTTCGGGAACCTTGCTTAATAGTAGCCAAGCATTACCAAGTCAATGAAGTACCTGCTGAGTCCTGTGTTTTATACGTTCTGCTAAGTTGAGTATAAACCTACCAGAGAGCACCACGTGAATACGTACACTTGTGCTTCAAAACACCTCTTGGTAGGATGATGGTTAACCCAGTCACACATTTGCTTGCTTTTTACCTGCTGAGAGTGGGTTGTTAGTCTTCCAAATCAAACATGATCCAACACGCCGGGGCTGCGTGTTACACGCTAGGTTGTATGTTGCAGTTAATTAGTTCGACTAAAGTTTTTTCACGTCAGGTGACTTCGACATGTTTAATCCGAGTGCAGTTCATCAAAAGTGCGTGCATCATACATGTAATATCCATTTTATTGGTCGCAGAATCGTTTTCGAAAGTCTGCACCTACCAAATGATGACAAGTTGACAGCGATGTATGTCAGAATTCTGGTGCACATGGTAGTCTTTTGACTGCGGGCTCTTTGTTTTTTGTAAGCACCAGTGCCACACCAAAAAAGAATACACAACCACAACGACCAAAGACCCCCATGCAAACACCAAGCAACATAAGTAGATCCATCTACATTTATCTTAAGAAGTGGGTGATTAAGCCAGCTAAGCTTGGTCGTGCAGCAATAGCTTTCCTATAATAAGTTTTTGAATCTTAGACATCGAGTACAGTAGTACAGCCTTGTATGTGATAAACAGAAAACCCATGAACTGGTGTTCCCACAGTAGTGTCTTCAAGCGGAGACTATGAATTACCTAGCTTCGTGTTGGACCAACTAATGAGCTTAATCAAGGATGCAAATACCTTACCGGCTTGTCTGCAAAACGCCTCGCACGAGTACGTAAGATCTGCTCAATCGCAACCTTCGGTAACAACGTATTGAAATATGTACTGTGGACAATGTTGGCGAAACCAGCATGTTCAACCATTCCCATGGATCTGGAGAAACTTCGGGAGCCGGAGCCGCAGTTTCGGGAATAATGGAAGTTGTTGGTAAAACCAACACTTTCCATGATCCCCCTTCAGACAAATCATGGAAATTGTTGGTCGTACCAACGTTTCCAACAATTTCCATAAATTTGGAAAAACCTCGGGAGCCCGCACCATAGTTTCGGGAATCATGGAAACTGTTGGAAATGTTGGTAAAACCAACAATTTCCATGATTCCCCTCAAAGAAATCATGGAAACTGTTGGTTTTGCCAACATTTCCAACAATTTCCATGAATTTGGAAAAACCTCGGGAGCCCGTGCCACAGTTTCGGGAATCATGGAAATTGTTAGAAATGTTGGTAAAACCAACAATTTCCATGATTCCCTTCAGAGAAATCATGGAAATTGTTGGTTTTACCAACATTTCCAACAGTTTCCATGAATTTGGAAAAACCTCGGGAGCCCGCGCCATAGTTTCGGGAATCATGGAAATTGTTGGAAATGTTGGTAAAACCAACAATTTCCATGATTCCCCTCAGAGAAATCATGGAAACTGTTGGTTTTGCTAACATTTCCAACAATTTCCATGAATTTGGAAAAACCTCGGGAGCCCGCGCCACAGTTTCGGGAATCATGGAAATTGTTGGAAATGTTGGTAATACCAACAATTTCCATGATTCCCCTCAGAGAAATCATGGAAATTGTTGGTTTTACTAACATTTCCAACAGTTTCCATGAATTTGGAAAAACCTCGGGAGCCCGAGCCATAGTTTCGGGAATCATGGAAATTGTTGGAAATGTTAGTAAAACCAACAATTTCCATGATTCCCTTCAGAGAAATCATGGAAATTGTTGGTTTTACCAACATTTCCAACAGTTTCCATGAATTTGGAAAAACCTCGGGAGCCCGAGCCATAGTTTCGGGAATCATGGAAATTGTTGGAAATGTTGGTAAAACCAACAATTCCCATGATTCCCCACAGACAGATCATGGAAATTGTTGGTTTTTCCAACATTTCCAGCACGTTCCATCGATTTGGAGAAAGCTCGGGAGCAACAATACAATAGACGCTACACTTAGAAGCCCAGGGAGCCACAGTAAACGAAAACGTGCTTTCCCAGAGACGCAAGGACCAAGGAACACAAACAAATATTAGGGACAAGGTGTCTGGCTTGAACAGGACACAACCTGGGTACCGGGGGGGGGGGGGTACCATCCATATATATATATATATATATGCGCATAGCAAGCACATGACGTACCCCGCAGCCATACTTTAGCTACCAAGACCTCCAAAAAATCTGCTGCCGAGGATCATGTCTTGGTCTTCCAAGTAGGCTGCGGCACCCCAGCACAGCACTTGCAAGGCCAGAACGTTGCGACCGGGACTGGCCAGGGATCTATAAGGGCTCCATTAAGGGATCTATAGCACATAATATCATAGTACCTTTGAGTATGTTATGGTACCTTATAGTAGATTACAATACAATAGGGATCTATTAGGGTTACTTTAAGGGATCTGCAAGGGTTCCTTGTTTTTCCTGCAGCAAGGACCCAAGGACATAGCCCGCAATGCAGGGAACCCTTTGAGGGCTTAGGGGTTATGGGTTTAAGTTACCATAATAGGATCTAGAGTACATAATATGGTTTCCTTAATGGTAACTTAGATAAATCCTTCAACAAGGGACTGGCCAAGGAAGAACTTGCACAGACCCATCCTACCCTACTTCCGGTCACATGGGATCTGGAGTGTTGGCATGTAAGGTCCAGTATACTCGGTTGCCCTCAACGATACCAAGGTAGGTCCTGAGTTCCGCCCAACAAAATGCAATGACTTGTGCTACGAATCTCCGGCTACATCCAAACGGATCGCGACCAACCCACCGTCTGTAACTCCAGGCCAATTGCAGAGCTGTTGTAAGGAAGGCTGGATCTTGGCTAAGCAGTATACTTAATTTCCCTCAGCCGCAACCCTGTTGCAAACCCCTCGCGCCGTAGGTGAGGCGTCACCTCGAATTCCACCTCAGACTCAGCGAGAGCAATATGCATGCATTCCTCTTGAAAACCAGCCTCAGGCAACTCCTGGTATCGGTCCTTTTGCTGGTCATGCCCTCGAAGTTGGGGATCTTTCAACTAGCTAGAAAAGGGTTGCAACTGCCATGTTACCACACTACTTTATTTTGACAGCTTGCCGTCCGTGCTTGATGCGCATGCACTTGGAGTGGGATATCTCTTCACTTGCTCAAAGGTGGATAGAACTATACCAATTCCGAGACCCCGTCTTCTTCTGATGCAAGCAGACGGCTGGCAGCTTGCTGTCCGTGCTGAAGCCCAGCTCTTGGCCATTCAGCCAAGCACGGCAGGTGCAGCACACGGCCCCGAGGTGAATGTACACCTGTAGGCCACCTGAAGGGGTCGCTTGTCTTGCTTGGTTTACAAGGGCCTCAAGGCTTTTGCGGTTTATGGGCTAGTTAGGCATCGAGTCAAAGGGACGGGCAGAGTCAAATCTTCGCTGGCAAGTTTTACAATCCAAGAAACAGACGACACACATCCGCCCGTAAACCCGGAAGATGCAGTCCCAAACACTTGCCAGCCAGTCTGCTGGGCAGTCGAAACTTTTTCTATAGGTTCCCGTCGGATTGTAGTCCTGAGCTCAGGCCGATTGTCCCTTACAAAAAACGCCCTTGCATGGCAAACAACATCCGGGACAAGCATCCGGGTCATCGCCGCGATACCTCCAGGCATGGAGCAACTCGTAACTGTACATACATGTCTACAGCAGGGTCTTACGTCGTAGTCGAATGGCCAAACCTCTTTTGTCGCATGTCATTCTGTCGTATGGCGACCATTCAAAACTACGTGGTCGCTTGTGCTGAGGGTGAAGCATGAGGAAAAACAATCTTACAGAATGCACATGTAACTTGATCCATGCCTGAACCTTTGAACGTTGATGCATATCCACTGATATCCACATGGCTCCACGGCGATGCACCACCACGTTCCATCATTGTGGTATTCGATCATCGCATACCACGCGCGAAGTTGTCTGTGTGTGTATATGTGTACACGATCTCATACAGAGCTCTGACCAGCATTTGCATTGAAACCAACAGCGATAGCAACGCTGACGGTTATCGTTGTTCTGATATTCGCCGCCATCATGAAAAGTCAACTCATGTACGCATCACGACCATCAACGGGAAAATCAACATGTATACATGCCGAGCAGAAAATAGATGACGACCGACAAGATTAGAAAGATATACAATGACGTATATACCGACAGTACCCTACAGTGCCACGCCTGATGTTCGGTGGGTCGCACTTGAAAATGAAGTCCACCTCAGCTTCGCAAGTCTCCGAGTTTATCCTCCAACGACAGTGACGACCATACCCTGTACTTGCACTGCATGCCTCCGAGGCTCGTTCGTGTAGATGGGAAACCCATACCTGGCAGGTGATGCTGCTACACTGTGTGGAAACAAATGCATGATACAAACGCGGATATATTTGTGCCGCTTGTGCACAAAGATCAAAACTGTGTGCTCCCTATCAAGGATGCTGAGTGTTTGACCTTAGTGTAGTTCAAACGGGGGCGAAATGGCGCCCCAGACGAACGTTGTGGTTTTGGTTCTGCGGCCCGTCCAATTTTGCCTGGTTTTTGCAAGCGTGACTGAGGACTGCAAACGGAGTTGAACCAGCAGCTTCCCCCAAAGAATACAAAGGAATTTTAGCAAAAACGTGTTCCTCTCAGCGCTCGCTGTTCATCCGGGCTGGACCTTGTCGAATCGCTCCGCTTTCTTTACATTTGCGCTTGCTATTGGCGCTCTTGCCAGCTGAGGTTGGGGACCAGGTTCACGTGAGTTCTTTCCCCCCTCGTCTCTTGTTTTAGTGGTGGGCTTCTCCTCGGTGGTTCCCCGTGGGGTTCTCTTGGCCTTTCCGTGGCTGTGCTCCGAAGGCTCATTGGGTTTCGCTGCCAACTGTCCTGTAGCGCCATCTCTGTCCGATGGCATCCCCCTGGACCCCACGGCCACTGGTCGACCTGCCCTGGTCCTCGAGTGGTGTGTTTGTTAGGCTGTCCTGGGAGCCGTCGTCGGCCGCCCAGACTGGCGGCGTGTCTTCTGAGAGGCTCCCCTCTTTAGTCTTTTCACTCCTGCACAGCAGGCATTTCCCCCTCCATGTTCTGCTCTTTTCCCCCTCCACTGCTTGCCGCTTGGCTTTGTTGTCAGGGCTCCTGTGAAGCCGTTGCATCAGCTCTTCTGCAGCGCTTGCGCTCCTGCTTCTGGTTGGCGTGGGGATCCGGTTCCGTACCTTCCACGCTTTCTTCAGCATAGTCTGGACTTGGGTAGCAGGTTTGGGGGTCTGCTTGCTAGCAACAATGTATAGTCCGAGGCAGTAGAATTAGAAGACTTCAAAAAAGTGCGCTGCCACAGCAGCCCGGAATCCCTCTCTAACCCTCTAACTCTCGCCTTGCTTTGCTTTGCTCTGGGGTAAGAGTAAGAGCCCCAGGCAGTCCCTGTGGCCCGCTCGTTAGAGCAACCCCATCCCTGATTCTCAGAAGGATGGGCTCAGCTGTGTAGTATCGTGTGCCCCGTACATATATACATACATACAAACCATGTGTGCATACGTGTCTGTATATGTGTGCATGGACGCGTATGTATACGAATGTGTGTATAATTTATATATGCGCACATGCATGTTCCTGTGCCTGCTGCGTGTGCCTATCTGTATTATCGTTTGGCCGTCTGCATAGAACCGGCTTAGCCACCACAGGGATGTTAGCAGATGTTCCGCTGGTTTGTTGCGAGCACCAGCACTACTGTCTGCCTTCCATCTCTCAAGGCAATGTCACCGCCTTGATGATTGTGGATTGGAGTTCACAGGAACTATTAAGCATATGATGTAAACCGAACATAAGCTGGTTCCATCACCTCGACCTCTCGCGCCGCGCATAATACCGTAGAAACCCCATTCCCTGAGTCACTGAGTAGTAGTGGGGCCTTCGTGATTAGATGAACATTAGAATAGCGTGCTGCTGCATACGGATACTAAACTACAATTTTGCTGGGGCTGTCAGGGATTATTGCTGCATAGCTGATTGTTCCGACCCCACCATATTGCAGAGAGAAGCTGCCCATTCAGCTCCCAATTTCCTGGCACCGGCATTCCACCCCAGGAGGCATCATCGAAGTCGAATCGCTCGAAACCTGCACACCCGAAAGCTCAAGCAGGGTCTAATCAACATGTCAAGTTTCCTCCTTGTTGTTAGGGTCTACATCCTTGGAAGATCTAACCGAATCTAACCACCGGCCCTCTGCTGCCGGCACGTGTGGGGCGTGAGAGCTCTCGGTGGCTTTTTGATTGCTACGCCAGCCTACAAATCCGTAGTGTGATACTTCCACCTTTTACACGGGCTTGATTGGAGGTTATCCACTACAATGAGAACCCTCGTGGCTTCAGAGTCGCTTCAGTGGTACAGTTCAGGTAACAGGCAGAGTCGCAGGACCACTCCGAATCCGTGCGCCGTGCCGAATGTGGAGTCACAGCCTCATACACCTGTGTGATACAAGGGGCTCAGACTTCTGTGCAGCTTGTCAATCAGAACATCTTTTCTCAGACCACCAACCCTCCAACTCTTAGATACTCGAACAAGCTTCTGCACCTTCAGCCTGCACTCAACTAACATACACTCCGGGATTGATTATTGTCACACGTGCAAGCCCTCGGGCCTTCCAAGGCCGTCCACTTCAATCCCAAACTTTGCCACCCACAACTGGGTCGCAGTTTTGGGGCTCTTCAAAGAAATCATTTATGAATGAATCGGTACCTCTGTAGGAACCATAAAGGGAATAAACAAGTTTCCCAAAAAAAGTTTCCCAAATTGCCACCTAGACAATCGAGAACCCAATTCAAGCCTTTCGGAGACTGGCCAGCGCGGGGACTCCACCTGATTTTCTGAGAATCTGTATGCGTCTTCTTCGCTCTGTGTCGTTGCTTGTTCTTTAAAGTGCGTAGAATGGGGAATATCCGCCTCCCTCTCTGTCGCTGGTATTCCTTGTGTGGTTGTGGGTCTCTCGCTGGCATGCTGTGCCCATGTACTTACTAGTAATCAAAATAGTAGTACTACTAACTAACAGTCATCATAGTAGTAACAATAAATAGGAACAGTAAGAGTATCGCCAGCACCCAAACATGGAGCTGGCATATACATATCGTGAAGGATTTTTCCAGGAGAAAGATGCAACTTCCGAAACCCTGTTACATGAACCTTAAAGCCTCAAGTTCGCAAAAGCACCCCCACACGACCAAAAACAACACGGGTGGAAACTGCCTGTAAGCCCACTAATGACAGTCGAGTGAAGCTTGGGGCAAGAACATACATGGTCACGCGCTCCGCAGCTCCCCCCCCCTCCCCCCCAAAGGTCAATGGTCCGGATATAGGGTGGGGCCCCCCCTCCCCTGTGGTGTGGGGTGTGGGGTTCCTCTTCCCCCTGTGGGGTGGTTGTAGGGTTTTGGGGTTTAGGGTTTAGCTTAAGCTTTTGAGTGTTGGGTTTACGGCTACAAGGTTTAAGGCTTCGAGTCGACAAGGGCTTAGGGAGGATTTGCGGTGTATGCTCTGCTTTAGGCTTAGAGCCTGCAGTTAGGTGGGATTTAGGGTTGGGTGTAGCGTTTTAAGTACAAGTTAAGGTTGCTCAAAACAGGGGCAAGCGCTGCGTCATAGGGTTTACGGCTTGCTTGCGAAGGGCTTGCGCGTGAGCCCTGGCCGCCAGCACCACCCCACCATCCAGTGGCAGTTCCGCACACGCCAGGCCCCCCCCCGCCCCTGTCAGACCATACCATTGGGAGGGGGGGGGGGGGGGCTGGGAACGCCAGACGCCTGACCATACATAGATGACCTGTGTCACCTTTATTGGTCAGATCAGGAACGAACATGAAAAAAAAACCTTGCTCTGGCGTTCTCTTTCTTCTCCATGCCGAGATGCGAGAACTTCCAGGTGCCATTGAGATCCAAACAGCGCCGGGACGCAGTGCGCGGGGCCCGCCGCAAAGCCAGCTCCTCGCAGCTTCGAAGAACGTTGGTGCCTCAAACGTCTCGAATTACTTGGAGGATCATGGGACTTAGCAATTAAGGTTATAAGTACCTTAATTGGGGTTATAAGTATAGTTATCGTAATTCCAACCCTATAGTTACTAAGTCCCATGATCCTTTAAGTACTCTACTGCCGCCATTGTATGTAGCGGCCTCAGAGGCCACAAGGAGTATGCCCTCAGGGCATTATAGGTCCCGCGGGGATAGAATTTGGAAATTTGCCTGCTGCATTCACGCACATGATAGAGACCACCCTAAACCCTATAAACCCTATAAACCCTATAAACCCTATAAACCCTAAAGCCTCGAACAAATTCAATAGACCAGTAACACAGAGCGACATCACAGCTGCCAGGATGCATTGAAATGACAGGAGTCGGTAACAGCATTATACCGGGGCCGTAATAATCCGAATGGGGTTTTGGGGCATATCATCGTATCATGACCCCAGCTGCAGATTTATTGTCAGGTTCAGCAGTAAACTCCAAGCCCATCGCTGACAACCTGAAGATGCGAAGCCAACTACGTAAAGCTCCTGAGGAAACCCATTGCTGCGTGTTGAACATTCCAGAGCATCTGCTGCATCTATCTATAGGTCTGAGTATGCCGCACCGTCCTCGCTTTCGTACGCGAAGAAATCGGCTCGCGGCGGCTCGCGTCCCCGACCCACGGCAGCCGGGTCGAAGCACTCTGAGCAATCCTGGTGTTAGTGTGGCAGTGGGCGGTCTGGGTTGTCAATCCTGAACTGTGCATGTGACAACGCAGGGACGCCTTGAATGCAGGCTGAGGGACGTAGTCTACCAAGTCCACCATGATGGCAGCATGAGGTCCGGGATGATGCAATGCTACCAGCTAGGACGACTTGGCTGCATCGCTACACATCTTGTGCGAACGCAGGCGAACGAAACCTGATGTACCACGGAGGTGAATGTTGGGTGCGGTCTTTTTCTAGTCTGCCAGCTTGCGATCTGGGTGCCCTCCGATATCTGGAGTTGCCCGGACTACAAATCATTTCTGCACAAAACTTTCGACCGATGACCAAACGTCATGAGCACCGCCTGCTCACTTGGCAGCTTCCAGAATTGACTGGAGCTTCTGCGCCAGCATCATGTTGCCCTTGATCTTCAGCTTGCCGCCCATGAAGGCCTGCATGCCATCCAGCTTGCCCTCTGCCATGGCCATGAAGTCGGCATCCGCCATGGTGATGGTGCAGTCCTGATTGAAAGTCAGGCTGCCACGATTCCGAAGGCAGCGAAGAAACGCAATCAGCTGCAAGGCCACAATATGCCCTGAGGTTCCGGCAGCGCTGCCCTCTTCACCAGCCTTGGCTGATCCGCTGCCGTTCTTCAGGTCCAGGACGAACTTGCCCGCGTCGCCGCCGTCGCTGATTACGAACTGGAAGACCTGAGCGCGAGTTGCAGAGTCAGAGCCGCTGCGCAGCACGCGCGTATCAAACCCATCACAGCCATCGTCAACCGACCTGGGCCGATTCGTGATGCTGCAAGCTGCAAGTGAATCATTTCATCCGGGCCACGGCGCCGCCCATCTTCACCAGCTCAGGGCCCTTGGCCTTCACTGCTGCCGACATTGCATCAAAGAGTGCCTGCGACTTCATGGCGGAAACACAAGGCTGTGCGGAGGGTTAGGTGCCGCAATCAGTCGTTCTTCAAATGCTTCGGTGATATGGAAAAGAAGTCAGTCTGCCAAACAGCCCAAAAGACAATGTGCGCATGTTTGCAGAACTGGCTGTGCAAAAAGCAAGGAGGAAGAAAGCGGCCTCTTTTGTTTAGTCTGCCAGCTTGCGATCTGGGTGCCCTCCGATATTTGGAGTTGCCCGGACTACAAATAATTTCTGCACAAAACTCTCGACCGATGACCAAACGTCATGAGCACCGCCTGCTCACTTGGCAGCTTCCAGAATTGACTGGAGCTTCTGCGCCAGCATCATGTTGCCCTTGATCTTCAGCTTGCCGCCCATGAAGGCCTGCATGCCATCCAGCTTGCCCTCTGCCATGGCCATGAAGTCGGCATCCGCCATGGTGATGGTGCAGTCCTGATTGAACAGTCAGGCTGCCACGATTCCGAAGGCAGCGAAGAAACGCAATCAGCTGCAAGGCCACAATATGCCCTGAGGTTCCGGCAGCGCTGCCCTCTTCACCAGCCTTGGCTGATCCGCTGCCGTTCTTCAGGTCCAGGACGAACTTGCCCGCGTCGCCGCCGTCGCTGATCACGAACTGGAAGACCTGGGCCAGTTGCAGAGTCGGAGCCGCCGCGCGCAGCACGCGCGTATCAAACCCATCACAGCCATCGTCAACCGACCTGGGCCGATTCGTGATGCTGCAAGCTGCAAGTGAATCATTTCATCCGGGCCACGGCGCCGCCAATCTTCACCAGCTCAGGGCCCTTGGCCTTCACTGCTGCCGACATTGCATCAAAGAGTGCCTGCGACTTCATGGCGGAAACACAAGGCTGTGCGGAGGGTTAGGTGCCGCAATCAGTCGTTCTTCAAATGCTTCGGTGATATGGAAAAGAAGTCAGTCTGCCAAACAGCCCAAAAGACAATGTGCGCATGTTTGCAGAACTGGCTGTGCAAAAAGCAAGGAGGAAGAAAGCGGCCTCTTTTGTTTAGTCTGCCAGCTTGCGATCTGGGTGCCCTCCGATATTTGGAGTTGCCCGGACTACAAATAATTTCTGCACAAAACTCTCGACCGATGACCAAACGTCATGAGCACCGCCTGCTCACTTGGCAGCTTCCAGAATTGACTGGAGCTTCTGCGCCAGCATCATGTTGCCCTTGATCTTCAGCTTGCCGCCCATGAAGGCCTGCATGCCATCCAGCTTGCCCTCTGCCATGGCCATGAAGTCGGCATCCGCCATGGTGATGGTGCAGTCCTGATTGAACAGTCAGGCTGCCACGATTCCGAAGGCAGCGAAGAAACGCAATCAGCTGCAAGGCCACAAGATGCCCTGAGGTTCCGGCAGCGCTGCCCTCTTCACCAGCCTTGGCTGATCCGCTGCCGTTCTTCAGGTCCAGGACGAACTTGCCCGCGTCGCCGCCGTCGCTGATCACGAACTGGAAGACCTGGGCCAGTTGCAGAGTCGGAGCCGCCGCGCGCAGCACGCGCGTATCAAACCCATCACAGCCATCGTCAACCGACCTGGGCCGATTCGTGATGCTGCAAGCTGCAAGTGAATCACTTCATCCGGGCCACGGCGCCGCCAATCTTCACCAGCTCAGGGCCCTTGGCCTTCACTGCTGCCGACATTGCATCAAAGAGTGCCTGCGACTTCATGGCGGAAACACAAGGCTGTGCGGAGGGTTAGGTGCGCAATCAGTCGTTCTTCAAATGCTTCGGTGATCTGATATGGAAGAAGAAGTCAGTCTGCCAAACAGCCCAGAAGACAATGTGCGCATATTTGCAGAACTGGCTGTGCAAAAAGCAAGGAGGAAGAAAGCGGCCTCTTTTGTTTAGTCTGCCAGCTTGCGATCTGGGTGCCCTCCGATATTTGGAGTTGCCCGGACTACAAATAATTTCTGCACAAAACTCTCGACCGATGACCAAACGTCATGAGCACCGCCTGCTCACTTGGCAGCTTCCAGAATTGACTGGAGCTTCTGCGCCAGCATCATGTTGCCCTTGATCTTCAGCTTGCCGCCCATGAAGGCCTGCATGCCATCCAGCTTGCCCTCTGCCATGGCCATGAAGTCGGCATCCGCCATGGTGATGGTGCAGTCCTGATTGAACAGTCAGGCTGCCACGATTCCGAAGGCAGCGAAGAAACGCAATCAGCTGCAAGGCCACAATATGCCCTGAGGTTCCGGCAGCGCTGCCCTCTTCACCAGCCTTGGCTGATCCGCTGCCGTTCTTCAGGTCCAGGACGAACTTGCCCGCGTCGCCGCCGTCGCTGATTACGAACTGGAAGACCTGAGCGCGAGTTGCAGAGTCAGAGCCGCTGCGCAGCACGCGCGCATCAAATCCAACACAGCCATCGTCAACCGACCTGGGCCGATTCGTGATGCTGCAAGCTGCAAGTGAATCATTTCATCCGGGCCACGGCGCCGCCAATCTTCACCAGCTCAGGGCCCTTGGCCTTCACTGCCGCCGACATTGCATCAAAGAGTGCCTGCGACTTCATGGCGGGAACACACGGCTGTGCGGAGGGCTAGGTGCCGTAATCAGTCGATCTTCAAATGCTTCGGAAGCACAAATCTGGGTTCCCGAAGACCACAACATGCTAAGCTGTCGAGAACAAGATACCATGCGAGGCGGGCGGTGTCTTTTCACTGTCTTGGCAGGAACGATATCTGTTTCGAGCCGCCCGGAGTACACGCTACTTCCGCACAAACCCGGGATCTACGACTGCCGCCACCCGACATTTGCATGGTGAGAGGAACATTTTCGGCTCACCGACTTGGCAGCTTCCAGAATGGACTGGAGCATTTGGGTCAGCATCATGTTATATAACCTTGATCTCCAGCTTGCCGCCCATGCCCTCGGGGCCGGCATCGCTGATGACGAACTGGAGGATCTGAGCAAAGTTGAAAGGGCAGGGGCGAAAGACCACAGCCCCCCTCAAGCCCCTCAACTGACCAGGGCAATTAATTCGTTAAGCTGCATAGCACAACACTTCATCCAAGTCACGGCACCGCCAAGTTTCACCAACTCAGGGCCCTTCGCTTTCACTGCCTCGGCCATGCCATCGAAAAGCCGCTGGGACTTCATAGCTGAAGGAGGACAGCACAACGCGAACTCTTGCCCAGGCTTGGGTCCTCAATGGCTGCGACATGTCTTTGACATGGTCCAACTGTTCCATATCTTGAACTCCTAAACGTCGAGGCGACATTGCTACTCCCGGCACTGCCGCTGCAGCTATGGGTGAGCTTCCAATGGTACCCTGCTTCTGGTACTGTTGCATCGACGACTCCCACTAAGACTATTGGGTGTCATACAAACGCTGTGATTGCCTTAGGCATCTTTGTGGGACAAATTGGCATAGTAGCACGAGTTGCACTTCGAGGGCAGTAATATTCGCTAGCCTGGTGGTAAGTTAAAGAACGATGCAATTGCTACATGATTGCTAATAGTAACTGCGTGGTAGCAGGACAACCAACTGGCTGAAGCAACTGGAAGCTTATAACAAAAGCATACTATTGTCACCAAAACCGCAGCGAAAGCGAGATGTGAATGCGCCGGGGGCGGGGCGGCTGCGCAGCACCTGGAATACTCTTCGTGATATAGTGATGCAGGTGTGATCGGAAAAGGGGGCAGCCTTCACGGAGCTACAGTAGGGGTGGTGAAAAACCTGAGTGGCTTTATCCGTCTCGGCTAGCGGATTGCCTGCGAGCTTTGCAGATCCACAAGATCAGCCGGTAATGTGCCATTTGCGGACAACCCTTCACGAAAGGAAGAAACACTTACTAAAACCATCCTAGCATCATTTCTAACGTGACATAGACACTTGGGGTCTCTACCACAGCCATCACCATCCTGATATATCCTGGACATGATTTATCAGAATCACACGACATACGGGCGAATACATCGCGCACGCAACTCAAAGACTTGTTCGGGTTACCGTGCCCGCGGACATGCTTGAAAAACAGCATGCACAGGTCTAGATGCAAAGCGGCATTGGAAACTAGCAACCCTACGCATCTGCACACCTGCGACCTGTTTACACACACACATGTACGAAGACATGTATGAGCCGATGCTCGTACAGTCACGCAAACAGACACGCGGGCCCTAGCAGAGAGTACAAGTTGCAAGGACCTCTAAGTCAGACACCCCGTATTTCAGTGAACCTCCACGTTGCCTTCCTTACAGAATGCAGCAATATACAGCAGATCATATATAATAAATAGAATATACGATATATAATATGTAACTATAACAGATAATAATAGGTTACTATGTACTATATAACATACAAGGCTCCCGGCCCTCGTCAGCTTGGAGATCTCTGCCTCGGCAGCAAGCTGTCAAACTGTGGGTGCAATGCCCCTGGCGAGCTCCGACTCGCCGAAGCAGCAGTAGCAAAACTATGTAGTCAAGGAGGATAGGGGCTGATCATAATGATAATGATTGCGCTGCTCAGTCATACTACCATGCGCACGTGATAGTGATGGTGCTGGCTGCGGTCACGGGAAAGGTCAGACATGAACAAGCGCGTGAAACGGAGCACTTCCTCTTCTCACAAGCCAGGAGAGCTTGGCAGCTGGGCCAGCCGTGCTTTGCAGATCTGTACCAAGTCGTAGCTGCTGCAACTGCTATGTACATGTCGGCCAACTTCTTGAAAGACTTGCCCGATCACGCGTAAGCACTGCAAGCAGTTCATCGGCGGTATTTCAGTTCGGTGCAGGGGTGCTTTGTCTATGTTTTCAGCTTCTCGGGGACGCCGGCATTGACCTCAACATCACTCAGCTCGACGCTGAACAGAGGAAGCCACTGCGAAACGTCTGCTCGCGGTACGATGCCACTGCCTCCAGACACATCGGCACCCGGAAGTAGCCGCCAGCTTTTAGCCTGGAGCCTCAAAGGGTAGGATAGCACCTCGGTGTATCCGCTCCGGCCATCTTCCGAGAAGTAGAGACCACCACTCAAGTTCGGTAGGGTCACGTCGACCTTAGGGCAAAGAGCTTGCGAGAAATACCATCGGAGTGCCTCCCCATGCGTCAAGGCCCACTTTCAAGGCTTACTGGGTTGGAATGTTGCGCTTTGCGCGGATTTCAAGACCCTTGGCTTCTTGCAACGGGCGTCGTGCTTCCGCGCCCTAAGCCCTAAACCTCCTGAAGCCGACCAAAACCCTAAACCGGCAGAGACACTGCACGTAGCCCCTTTGTGCACGAAACCGTCTTTGCACCAAGTCTCTGTGTGGTCGTCAGTTGGACTTGAGAGAGAACCAAAGGAGCATCCGAAGCAACACCCCGACCACTCCGACTACTGCAAGACACAACCATCCACAACCACTACCCAGACCCCCGGGAGGATCTAGAAAGTAGATCCCGTAATTTGGGGCACTATACTACCAAGGGTACTTTATAGGCCTAGTCGCTCTGCTGCTTGCCTTGTCCGTCCACGGTGGATGGCCCACGGTAACGCGAGCACTGCGATCCACACGACCCAAAGGCCCGCAGCCGTCCCCGATGTGGAGGAGCGGAGCAAAACCAAAGCCCAGCACCTTGGCTTTGCATTTCGGATGTGCTGACATCCTCGGGCGATGTCTGGAATAGAGGTAGCTACAGATCAAGTTGAGACGACAGGTAGTCGTGTCTGTCCAGGAAGCCTTCCCATCTTCGTCCGAAGTCTGCATGCTGATATCACCTGACTCTGTGACATGCCGCCAGGGCTGCTAGACTCTTGCTCGAAACACGGCCCGACAACGTGAATCTGTGTGACGAGGAGCACTGCGAGGTGGGGAGTCCCCACACTTCGCGGCCCCCCTTGGAGGCCTCATCGCTGTCCACCCAAACGTGGGAGGCCCAAGCGCCCCAAGCTCCCGCAGCAAGCACCAAGCTGCTCAAGAGGCCCACCTGATCTTATGATTTACGAATACAAGAAGGGTCTACTGGGCTTTGGGGTTGCAGATTTGGGGTTCAATAGGGTTTAATGGGGTTCCTTTCCTCGAATATTGTGCTGCCCTGTGGCACCACTGCTCCCACCCCGACCGATGCCGCGACGACACAAAATGCTATGTTCATTAGTCATTTTGTGTTTGTCTTTGCGTTCTGTTCTAATCGCATGCTGCAGCTCTGCAGAGCCTCCATGTATGGTCCCCAAGGGCTCTCATCCCACTCAATGGCAAAGCTGCCGCCGATCGTTCGGCCCAGTAGACTAAGCGACTGCACTCCAGGGGGCAGCCCAGGGCCTGGGATACCACCTAAGCTTTTAAGTGACGAGGGAGAAAAATGATAAACTTGTATTTCATGATGGTTCATTTAAGAAAATAGTATCAAGGTATGGTGGAGAAAAAAGGATAAACTTGTATTTCATTATGGTTCATTTAAGAAAATAGTACCAAGGTATGGTGGAGAAAAAAGGGGTAAACTTCTATTTCATGATGGTTCCTTGAAGAAAATAGTATCAAGGTATCGGTATGGTACTCCAAAGCCCAGCCACTGCTGGCAGGCGCAGGTTCTGGGACGATGCTGAGGTGAAGCACCGCTCGAGAAGCATGCAGCTGCAGCCCTTCCGTCTCCTGCCCAGGGAGGGCCAATTAAGTAGGAGCCGGTGCAAGGGCATAATTCTTAAATTCCCTCAGCATGCCGAGACACTGTATATGTATGTGTATATATATATATATATAGATAGATAGATAGATAGGTATGTCATGAGGTCCGAAACGGCTGCTCTGCACCCCGTCACCCGCTGGCTCGAGCGGAGGCAACGACCGGATTTCCACGACACAAAGTTGGAAGGTCTCGGGAAAGCCTCAGTCGCAACAGCATCGTCACGCGATAGATCCAGTCGAAGATGGAAAGCCTCCTTTCTTCCAAAACTCCCAATGCCATCGAGAACCAAGCACGGCCTATCACGGCCTCGTGAACATGTCCTTGCGACGGGTAGCGCATGCTGCGCAGGCGGCCAAGACCAGCAGTTGCCGCATGTGCATCTAATGAACGATATCAAGTTCCGGCAAACCAACGACCAGAAGGCTGCTAGTAATGACAACCTGCATGTTCATACTCCCTACATCCGTGGATCATGTCATGATCGGCAGTCTTTGCGTTTTTTTCATGTTGCCGAATCTTGCAACCGGCCATGGCTTGAGCAGCCTCTGACTTTGACTGTTCTGGCTCTAACAAACTCTCGCCGGAAAGGACTTGCAAGCAAAGTTCGGCGTCCAAGCTTCCATTGCGTGAGAATGCTGCATGTAGGACGTACGTAGCTGGTCGCGCTCGCACTTCAGGTTACAAGTGCTTCAAACCGTCGAAAAACGGTGCTTTCTCGGCCTGCTGATGCTGGATTCCAGGCAACCCTACCAGGGAGCCGGGAAGGGACTGGGATAAATGTCTAGAGCCCGAACCCCGGCAATAGAAAATACAGCACAATCACTCAGTCCTCTATATTACACCCCAAAACCCGACTTTTCCTAAGTATTGAAACAAGCAGTCACCAGATTGCACTGCGGCGCCGGTTTTGCATTGCCGCACAATAGACCAACGAAACAAAAGTCAAGTCTGCATATTGTCTGCAACTTTACAGAACCTGGAACGTCTCCACAAAAGGGACAACTTGCAGCCATCTTGCCGCAGCAGCTCCGACAGGTTTCATACGGACAGAGTATGCAGGGCTTCTCAATGCATCCTACCTATAAAAGCTGAAGCTGACTCCTGAGGAAACGAAGGTCCAACTCTGTGCGGCACTTTGTGCAGCACAGCGGTGCAGAAACGAATTCTGTGTCCTGCAGCTACCGAAGAAGGATCGTGGCTGGATCACTAGGCAAGTGCATGCAAGTCTTCTGCTCTCCAGGGCTTGGGCTGAGACTGAAACTTCTAATATTTTAGTAATATAGTATTTTAAAAATATGTTACTTTAACAATATAATCATATAATAATATAATAATATAATATTTTACTAATATAATAATATAACAATATGATAATATAATAATATAACCAATAATATTTTCCGGAAGCCCGTCCTACGAGCCGGATGCAAGCGCATGGAAACTCGAAACCCTTGATGTCTAACGCACCACGACGACGATTCGTTTGACCACTCAACCAGGTAAGGTCAACTGAAGAAAAAAAACAAACGCTAAAGCACGAACATAGGAAACCCGCAGCAAATACAACAGCAACAGATCCATCAACACTGCCAGCCTCACGATCACGAACTGTATCCTTCTTTTCCTCTGCTCCTCCAGTTTCTCTCTACCCGTCCCCCACCCTATCATCGTCATGCACTGCACAAGTACAGCTTTTTTGTGGAAGAAACGTGATTACTACAGGGGCCTTAATAATTAGAGTGGGGTTTGGGGCCAATTACACTATCGTCTATAGTCATAATAGGGAGCCCCAAAAATAGTATAGGTAATTATTTACGCTCTCGCAACTCGGACATGCCTGATGTGGTCTCTGGTGCGAAGTACATTGACTGGTCGGCACTAGCAGCTGGCTATCAGTATTGAAGCCCCTATATTATCGAACCCTGCTATAGATACCTTGTAGAACCCTTTAAAGGAACCCCCCAAAAAATGGAAAAAGGCCAAACCCTAGATTGCCCTAGATTACAACCTTACAACCAGTGTTCCTCCAATAATGGTTCGGCCCAAGGCTGGAGAACTGAACCCCGCTGGCCACACGCGAAGCGTAAAAAGTCTTGTCTCCAAGAAAAAAGCAGGGACCCTTAATCAGGACCCCCAGGTATATACCCTGAATATAGCCATTATACACCCATTATAGGGTAGGGGTCCCCATTAAGGGTCCCTCCTTTTCCCCTTTGATTGTCTTTCGACATGGGAAATTAGGGGTGCCTTCTTTGGGGGTCCTTATAAAAAGGATCCTAATGTTTAGGGTACTATAGGGTCCCCTATTTGCGGAAACCACCACATGTTCCCATGGTCAGTTCTGCATATTGGGCGGCCCTTGCAGGTCTTCATAGGGGTGCGTTGCTCGCGTAGAAATACTCCCAAATTCGGCTGTCTTCCCAAACAGAAAGGGCAAGAGGTTCAGGCCTGATAGCCGTATCATCTCCTATAGTCCTTATGTCAAAGTGCGACGTGGCCATCGGCAAAACTCAAGCGACCGTCTTTGTGGGTCTCTGCTGCTTCTGTACAGGAATAGATGTTACGTGACTTTCGCTGAGCAGTCTGGCCGCAATAAGTTAAGGGCCGCCATGCTCTTCCACAAAGAATACGAACACATTTCCACATATTATGTCAGATTCAACCTGCAGTTCATGAATCTAGTACCGAGATCTAAGCCATGACACAATTTCTGCCTTTTCCATGGAATGGTTCAAAAAACAAGATTTCCTTGCATCGCTTATGCAAGGACTTTCTCCACGCCAGGGATAGGTGTCTTTGCGTACTCCCTGCCTCGGTTCTGGAGTTTTGGGGGGCTTTGGATGTCAGTGGATTCGAGCTAAGGCGTTTCTAAAGCCATGCCTGACCAGACCCCCTGACTCCTGAACACGTCTACAACTTAATTAAGTCAACCAATGTGGGTAGTTGTCAAGACTAGGATCCCTTTTCGGGTACCCTAAATAATAGGTGCCGTCATATAATAGGGATCCAAAAAAGGACCATAATTTTGACAACCGCCATACGCCTGAAGCCGAATGGTCCGAGCTGCCAGCAGGTCGGATTTCACGGTCGATGGTGACCAAGCCCCACCACTCCTCTAGAATGGACTTAAAGACACAAGTGCAAGTTACCTCCGTATGAGAGATTACAGTCTATCCCTCTCGGGGTTTGTTTCAAGTCTAGGGATTCCAAGTGCGCAACAACTCTTTGATGCCCTTGAAATGGAACTTTTGTAGGAAACCACCAGGCCTTTGCCCTTCCAGCCAACCGCGTGAGTGTATTAATTATTGCACAGGCCCCTGATCGATGATAAGGCTTGGAACTAAAAGGCCCCTGTCATGCGCCCAAACGAGGGGCAGTTATGATCGGGTTTACATCATGCCTGATGCAAGATTCATGTAGGGACATGTTCGTCAAGCGGTGGATGCTTTTCTCGACCCGTTTAACACTCTGAAGAGTGCTGTATAGAACCAGACGGTTAGGATCCGGATTATACAGACCCCTAGCCTCAATAAACCGATAAGCAGCGCGTCCGGGCAATTCAGCTGCCTGGGAGTTTCTTGTGCTTGATTCAAGGCACAGCCGCAACAAAAAGCAGTTGCTGATCACGCTGTTCTTGCAACTCGACCTCGTATCTTTATGTCTTAAATTGCCGTGGTCGAACAAGGTAAGATAAAAACAGACAACATGCCACCGGATGTTCGAAGACACTTGCATGTTTTAGACATTCCTGTTTCCATGATACTCGTCGCTTTCGACCCCAAGGGAAAGACTTTCCAAAAGCAAGCTCCCGAAATGCCGGGTCCTCGTTGAACGTCCTGTCTGGGTAGGGGCCACCCCCGGGAGCCACGCCACCGGTGTCGTGATCATCAGGGCTTCCATCGTTGTCTTTGTGCCACTCATCATCTCGGACAGGTCGCACGGTTTATTTCATCAGGGGGTTTAGACGGATAACTGTGTTCTTGTTAAGGAATGTAATTTAAGTTACCATAATAGGGATCTCTAGGAAACGATATGGTTTCCTTCGTTTCCTTATTCTGGTACTTAAATAAAATAACTGGGCTTTGAATTAACCAGGAAGAAAAAAGGATAGACTTTTATTTCATAAAGGTTCCCTTTAAGTAACAGGTCCCCAAAAGAGTATTAAAGTATGGCACTCCAAAGCCCAGATAAGCCCCTTAACAAGAACCCAGACAAGCGTCTTCCGGCTCCCGGGCTTGAAAAGTTGCTGCTCATCTGAATAAAAAACATGCTCCACGACCAGGTCATGTGGGTGAGCTTAGGATGCATACTAGAACTAGAACCGCTGTCTCCGCTCCGCCCCACCCTTAAGAACAATTAGAATAGGGTTTTGGGGGCCCATTATCCTATGAGTATAATAAGGAGCCCCCAACATGGTATTCCCAGATTTTTAGTCTGATTCCATCTCCGAGCTGCTGAACTCGAACACAAAGCCGCCGATACAGGAGCCACCTCTGCTGCCGATGTCTGATCATAAGTACCCTTGTGGGGGTAGAGGGGAGGGGGGTGGGGGGCCTTATAATTACCTCTAATTACCTGTAATGAGGACTTAATAAGGCCTATTTAAGAAAGTATAGTCCCCTACCCCCCTCCCCCTTACCCCTCTAAGGGTCCAAATGATCTGAGGGTCCATGAAGGAAGAGGCTCGGGGTTGAGGAGTGCTTCTGCGCTTTCAAAGACTCCCTCGAAATTGGATCTGGCAAGCTGAGCAATGAACGTCTCCACACACCCCCGCCAAACCAATATGCATATCCAAGCAGCGGTTCGAGACCGAGCTTTTGCTGAGGATTTCTTCCTTAGCTTGAGGCTGCACCTTTGGATATGCGTACAGGCATGCGCACCCAAACTCGTTTGACAACTCTCCCCTCAACGTATATTAAGCCTTCGCACAAGTAAACACAAGTCAGTCAAAATCTGCAACAAGACAGCTGAAAAGAGCTCAAAACCAAAGAACGATGTACATACATACATACGTACATACATACCTGCTTACACTAGACATACATGCATACATACATATATCATGCGTAAGTGCATGCCTACTGCCTGCATATGCTGATAAGTATCTACAAACACAAAAGCATCCACACGCACACACACACACACACACACAGAGATGTTCGGGGATGGTGCATGTGTAGCTGCACGTACGGCTGCCTGCGTCACGGTATAGAAGAAAGTGTGTGTCACATCCTGTGTCTTCTTTGAGGTTTATGGTATGGACCAAAATATAATGAATGTGATGTACTGTCGTGTATCTGCAAGCACGTGCATACATGGCTTTTGTGTCGTGAAGACACACAGAGTGTATATGTATATGATTGTCTATGCATATACACACATGTATACCTATCTACATAACTATACATGTGTACATGCGGATATACTAGTGAAGATATACAAAGGTTCACCGATAATTATGTATGTATGTATGTAGACATATACATATATGTATCTGTATGTATATGTGTATGTGTATACCTATCTATCTATCTATGTATATCTGTATGTACACATCATCTATATGTGTATGTATGCTCTGCATATGCGTACATTTGTTTTTGTATGTATATAAACGTGTGTATGTGTACATATACGTATATATATATATATATAGAGAGAGAGAGAGAGAGAGAGAGAGAGAGAGAGAGAGAGAGAGAGAGAGATGGACCGACAGGTAGATATGTAGATAGATAACTAGAAAGATAAATCGACAGATGGATGGAGTGACATTTTCCATGCAGGTTGCGCAAACATCGCATCTAGTGTTTGTGCTTGTAGCGTTTAGGTCCCTACAGTAGGTTCAAGATGTAACTACGTACATTCATGTATGTATGTATGCCTTCACTACCGACTTCTCGAATGCCCGTGATGGACTCACACCTCAACCAATTTTTTTTGTGCCAGTACATGAATATATTTGTAGGGAGCATGCACCATGTAAATGCATACGTACTACAAACATGCAAAGCTGCACACATATATGCATCATCGTATACACCCTGTCTTCATAACATACAGCAGAAGCTGAACAAAAAAAACTGCCGCCGACACATCGCACTCTGCCATGTTTCTGAAAGCATTACCGCTTGCTGGCCGTCGGCTTCTCGTGCGCAGCGACACGACATAAAGCACAGTATTTCTCACACAGCAACCTCCCCCACCACCGCCCTCCCAACCAAAAGCGACACGCAAGCGCACACACACACACGCAGAGAGACAGCAACCACAATTGTAAGCAACGGGCTTGACTGCCGGCAACCAAGAGCAAGAGTGCTCCCTCCAAAAGTTGCCTCCCAATGGACATCTTCATGCAAATCAACGACACCAAGTCTGAAATCCCGAGCCCGAAACCTGAACCTCAGGGCCTCTAGGATCCTGCACCAAGGAGCCGTCAGCTCTTTTGTCGCCCTTGCCTGGGACTCGCGGTCCTCACTGTTGATCTTGGCGTTGTAAGCATCGGCACCATACTCACCTCAAAGCACGGGGCAGCAAGCGATCGCTGGGGATCAGACTTTAGAGCCCTGGAGTACGAAACCGAATAAAATCCATGTCAGAGCATGGAACATATGTAGCGAGAAGTCTGTGCCTCGTTCACACCACGCTAGAAGCCCAGGCACAAAAGCGCAACACACCCGGCTTAGCCTGCCTTCCCCAGCATTCAATTCCATGATGGCACTTCGCACTCGGATTGGGCTTCCGAAGGTAGCTTCAGATTGAAACTCGTCGCTCATTTGTTGACGTTTGCACGGGCCCATGTCTGTGGCCCGCGGCCCATGCGCTCCAGGAGGTGAGCAACCCCGGCCGGCATTTGCGCACCGTCGTGAGATGTGGATTCTGAGAAGCTATGATCCGCAAGCCAGAACCTAGAAGCACAGTGATGCGAACGGGCGTCCCAAGTACATGGGCTTGTTGGTAATTCTGGCAAACTCATCGAAAAGGCCGCCGAAACCTCAGCCGGACTCTCCGGTTTGTGTGTAGGGATGCTTCGGCGCTCACACTCGGACGATGGGATGTTTCACCTGGGACAAGCATTGAGGGTCCTGGCAAGGGTCCTTGTGTGTGGGGGCAACCCCTTTCAGGTACCTATTCGCACACCTAGCAGAAGACGAGCAAACACTGCAGGGCCCTTGGGGGTTCCTAGGGTTCGAGTCTGCAAACGGTCTATTTCGCACAGGCGATGCATGAAAGTAATATGCTGCTGGCCATTGAGACCCCACTTGCCGTGACATCCCTCGCCCTCAGACCCGGAAGACAAACTCATAAACCCTCCCAGATCACAACAATCCTAAAGAGTGGAAGCACTGGGCAAGTGAGGCACATCCCAGACGCCGTCGTGTTACGTGGCTTCTAGATCCCGAGTTCGGTCGAGCTCAAGGTCCCGGTTCCAAGTTTTCGGAACCTGGACCCTCTGAACTCAGTGGAACCTTTGTTGCAAGATTCTTTGCAAAACAATGACTCGCTCGGCTCACAGTGGCGTGCTTCCTCACTTCGTGACAGCTTTGAAAAGCCTTGAATGTATTGAACGCTAAAACCCAGATTTGCTGGAGACTGACAAATATGTAACGCGGTGGCTAGCTGAACCCTGAAGCACGCCAGCAAAAGGCTGTGTAGCCGAGGGAAGCGAAGAACAAGGAACAAAAAAAACGTGACACACTCGGCTCTGCGATGTCGTTTTGTATTGGTTTGTGGAAGGAACTGCTAGATTCGAGTATAGTCCTTGGAACATAAACGCCTTAACATTTTGCTCTGTTGAGCTTGAGAAGAAGCATCTGCAGAGCCAGTGTGTAATCGTCTAGGTACCGCTGCACCTTGATTTCAACCCCAAGCAAGTGTGGACCTGCGTTCGGAACCGAACAGCATACAAGTCATGCAGGCCTAGGGAAGTACAACGCACATGAGCATGGATATGCTTCAACCGGTGTCCACAGCAAGTCCTGTCTTGAATGGCAGCTGCGGGGATGTTGTCCCCAGAAGTGCTGCGCGCTTCTTCAAACAGAAACTGCTGGCGCTCGATGCAGCGAGTAGACCATCCTAAGTCCTAACTTCGAGACGCCCTTTCAACCCCCAAAGCTATGCATCGCAAGTGGGCCAGAGTTCCCCACGGGGCATTTCGCCACCCAGTCCAAGAGAGCAAAAGAGCTCTCAATGGAGATCTGATCACACGGAGCCTTGCACGGGTTGCTGCACGCCGGCCAATTTGTCCGCATTGTCCCTCGAGATCTTCCACGGAATGATGATCAGCAGGGCGATGCACAGACTCAAGAGGCCGGAGATGACGTAGCTGTTTGCGATCAGGCGGAAGCCGTTCATGCCACGGTAGCACATGTTGGTCGTCAGGCCCTCCCAGAAGTCTCGCATGAAGCCACAGTTCAGCATGTCGAGAAGATCCACCACCGGCGTGATGATGTCCGTCTGGACGAGATCCTTCATGTCAGTGATGATGGCAGTCAGCAAGGAGCTTGTGATGGAATCGAAGTACTCGAAGGTCTTCTGGATGTCCTGCTCAGCACCCTTGACGAAATCGTTGAACTCGGCGAGGGTGCATTTCCGAGTGCGTCGATACACGGTGCCCCCGCTCAGGCAGGTATTGATCCAGGTTCCACCAGATTGCACCATGTTGCGCGGGTAGCACGGAGTAGGGTCATTGGGGCCGTTGACGATGTAGGTGCACATGAACAACTCTTCCGTCTGGAACTGCTGCTTGACGTCTTGGAGGAAGGCAACTGCGGCGTCACATCCCGGCTTGAAAAACTGCATCGTCAAGTTGTTGTTGCAAGAACCTCCGGTGTAGGACGGGCACGATCCGCTCATGGGCGTGTCCATGTAGTAGCCTTAGCTCCGGTTAGTAGGGAATAGAAGAATGGGGTACAATTATAACTATTATTACTACCATTCTTCCATTCCCTACTAACCAAAGGTAAGTTATAGGCCCCTATATCATAGTACCCTTATAGATCCCTTTTAGTAACCCTTATAGACCCCTTAATAAGGCCCCTTTCATTCCCTACTAAGCAAAGGTAAGTAGCTCAGAGCCGGCACATCGCTGCCCTGCACGGTGAATCCATCCATTGCCATGGCCGAAATGCCTGGGTGGTTGTCAAAAGTAGTACCCTTATAGTAGCCCTTTAAGGAGCCCTAAGGTATTGACCCTCATAGTACCCTTACAGTAACCCCATATGGGTGGTTGTGAATTTTACTTAGTCCCTAGGGAACCTACCTTTTCAGGGCCCTCTAATATGATTTCTTTATATAAGTCCCTAAAAAGGTAGGTTATTTGGGGTTAAGGTAGGGTCCCTTTTTGGGTCCTTAGGTCCCTTTTTGGGCACCCTAAATATTGGGTGCCGTATTATAATAAGGACCTTGTTCAGCACTCACAACTAGACAAGCAGGCGAGGATCCGAGTACACATCTGGGTCCTTGTTACGGTACCCAAAAAGGGGCCCCTTATTTTGACAACTGCCCACCTGGAACGGACTGACCACCCAGATCCCCAAGATCCTCACTCAGGGACACGTTGGAGCAGGAGACGCTGTTCACCAGATAGGCCTTGAAGGGGCCAACAAAAAAAGGGTTAAGGGTTTAGGGTTTATTGATAGGCCTTGAAGGGGCTCGTGGAGCCCTGGACATCGTCCATCATCGGCTTGTAGGGTGAAGATGCAGCAGCCAACTCGGACTCCACGGGAAGGTAAAGCGCCGACATGTCCAGTGCTCCGATCATGGCGAGCAGCTCCAGGGTGTTGGCATCGTTCGCAATGGATGGGGCCGAACCTAGTTGATGGTTGGGATAGGATTTAAAAACAATTTTTTTATTCCTTATTGGGTTTAAGTAACCATAAAAATGCAAAAGGTTACCCAACTATGGCACAGGAACCATCACCGGCCAAGGAGGCTTCTGCGTTGTCGATCTGCTGCAGGATCGGATCCAGGGCGAAGGAGAAGATCTCTTCGCGGATGGTGGAGGTCTCCCCGGCATCGGCCTGTGTTTAGTAGTAGTAGTAGCAGCAGTAGTAGTAGTAGTACTAGTAGTGCTGGTAGTGGTAGTGGTAGTGGTAGTGGTAGTGGTAGTGGTAGTGGTAGTGGTAGTAGTAGTAGTAGTAGTAGTAGTAGTAGTAGTAGTAGTAGTAGTAGTAGTAGTAGTAGTACTAGTAGTGGTAGTGGTAGTGGTAGTGGTAGTGGTAGTGGTAGCGGTAGTGGTAGCGGTAGCGGTAGCGGTAGCGGCAGCGGTAGCGGTAGCGGTAGGGGTAGCGGTAGCGGTAGGGGTAGGGGTAGGGGTAGGGGTAGTGGTAGTGGTAGTGGTAGTAGTAGTAGTAGTAGTAGTAGTAGTAGTAGTAGTAGTAGTAGTAGTAGTAGTAGTAGTAGTAGTAGTCACGCCTTTGTCTGGTTCATGGGCGGGATGTCGACGATGTCAGCCAAATTGCGGCTGAAGCCGGGGTCAAACTCCGGATGAGTAAGGCTGAAGCACCTGTCTGCAATCTTCAAAGCCATCTCCACCTCTGCTGGGACATCAGCACCGACAGCCGCCATGAGGTTGGTTCCCGTCTCTTGGTTGAAGTCGATCATGACAAGACAGAGACCGCTACCGAACATGGCAACAATGACCATGATACCACAGATGAGGAGGACGAGCATGGCGTAAATGCATGCGCTGCACGAGACGCAGCCAGTGCAGAACCTGACGCAGCAGTGGTCCGGCTTCTCGCCCTGCTGATCCTTGGCAGACCATAGAGCCAGCGCAATGAGTGCGGCAATAGCAATCAGCAAGTAGAGGGCGAAAAAGGCAAGCACTGCTGGCTGCAACATGGAGTTTTCGCCAGCAACCATCTCGGTCGAAGCTTGGAAGCCACCAGAGCCGGGCTCAACGAAGAAGCCCACCTAGGGTTCTACACTGACCCAACATCCAAAACCCAACAAGGAAACGCCAAGACTAAACCTAAAGGTACAATCAAAACCGGTTTGCAACAGGCTTTCCACTTCGCCCGGCCTTTTTGCCACTGGACTCGAGTCTAGCCACTTCGCCCGGCCTAAACCCTCAACCTAAAGGTACAATCTAAACTATAACCCTAAACCCTCAACTTATAAAGCAACAATCTACTAAACCCTCAACTTATACAGGTACAATCCCACCTGTTCGACGAAGGCGTCCTTTGCCGCCTGGATCGGTTCCATGGCCGCTGTGATGGAGACCCGGAGGTCCTCGGCAGCTTGCCCTTGGAGGTTCCTGGGCTCATTTTACGTTGCCATGAAAAGGGAGTTTCCGAAAATAGGGGACCCTAATATAGTACCCTAAATAGTAGGATCCTTATTGTAAGGACCCCAAGATAAGGTACCCGGAAGCTCCCATATAGGGATCTATAGGGGCTCCATAAAAGGGACCTGGAAGGCTTCCTTTAAGGGCTTAGGGTTGAGGGGGTTAAGTTAGCATAATAAGGGATCTATAGAACGCATAGGGTTTCCTTGTTATGGCAACTCAAAATCAATGCGTTATAAAAAGCCCAGGTTCTCTTCGATCTTTCCGCGCAGCTGGGCCATGGCTTCACCAGTACTGCTGGCAAAGACGTCGTTGATCCTCCCCAGGATCTCAGCCAAAGGCTCACAGACCTGGCACTTGGTTACTGCTAGTACCATCAGAAAGGTTCTATAGTAGATAATATTTAAGTTACCATAATACTTCTACAGTAAGGAATATGGTTTTAACTTACCGTAAAAGGGATCTATAGCAGATAATAGGGTAGCCTTATCATGGTAACTTAAAGGCTCGCCGACCTGGCACTTGTGGTACATCGTGGACGAGGACGGGTTGGTGGGGTCGGAGACCGGGTTGATGTTCACCGGATTGTTCATCATCGTCTCGAGGGCTTCGATAGTGCCAGATGCAAGGTCTACTGCCTTCTGGATGTCCTGGGTTTGATCGATGATGCTTTGCAGCTGGCTCAGGAAAGACGAGCCGGGGTTGAGGATGGTGGCCAGCCCGGAGAGCGTGTTGTAGGCCGGCAGAAGCCCAGTGAAATCGTGCTCTGTGCTGCCGGCGACAGCGTCCTGAATCAAGGTGGCGGCTGCACAGGCTGTGCCGGAGATGCCGTTGTCGATCTTTGTCGCACCCGTCATAGATGTGGAGACCATGATCACGGCAGCGACGCCAAAGGCGATGAACAGCAGCCAAAGGACGCCCTTGAAAATCTTACCGGTTGCCCACTTGCGCTGGCAGCATCGGCAGCAAGCTCTGCAAAGGCACGGGCAGCACACGAACCAGCAGCAGAGAACCCACAACACGAAGAGCAAGATCGCCAAGACCATCGCGAAGGCCTTTCCGGCAATAAAGCCCGGGTCGGCGATCTCGCTGAATCGATCAGCGATCTGTGCCGGGGTGTCCCCATTTTGACGAGCGATGCCCGCTTCTTCGATGAGCCTCACGATGAAGTTGTCCTCTCCAGCGCCGCCTTCCAGGTCCTCGCGCGCTGCAGCGACATCCAGCTCTTCCAAGTCTGCGTTGAGCGCACAGTACTTGTCGACGGTGGCCGCCGCATTGTCCAAGACCCTATCATCCTCGGCGGTTTGTCCGGCGGCCACCCACAGGGCTGCCAAGATCGACAAGAGTCGGAGCATGGCGGACCACACAGATCTTCCAAACACACCACAGGGCCGTCACTGGGGTCGCTTGTGCTCTTGCGCCCAAATGGCTGCTCAGAAAAACTACCAAAGACCTCCAGAGACAAAAAAAAACAACTAAAAGCTGCTGAAGGACAAAAATACGAATTCAATTTCGATTATGCTGCGGCAGAGGGCCTAGGGCTTTACGAAGCTGCAGGCCCTTCGAAGCGAGCCAAGCAGCTGATGCCGCGGTAGGAGTTGATGCCCCAGACATCAATCTCTGGAAGTGCCTGAGATGCCTGATCCAACTTTCCGGTGTCTCCGTAGATCGAGGAAATGGGGTGGCTCGTGTCGAACCTGGGCTTGCATAGTCAAAAGTCTCATGTCGAGTGAAGTCCAAAACTAAACAATGGACCAAGAAGAGGCACGCCCGGTCTCGAGAAAAGCATTAAACCTCGAAAGAATCACACGCAGTCTGAGCACTAGTATCAAGGGCAGGGCCCCCTGGGACTCCAAAACCTTTTTTCAAGGGAGGTCTCGGAGTCCTGACTCCATCTGTTCTGCAGTATCACCCTCCCCCGAACCGAAGTTCCACCCCCGCTTGACCCTAAACCCCCTGGGCGATTATCTCTTTGATCAAGGAGCTCCCGAACCACCTTCGCCACATCCCGGATTTTGGCAATACAGTCAAAGAAGCTGCTGCCCACGTAGAGGCCGTTGTAGTTCCACTCATTTCCTCAGCGAAAATACCCCATACCTGAACCTTCATGGAACCTGATTCCAGCTTCATCTCATCTCTCTGGTTCTCAACAGGGAATATAGGGGAATGGATTGTAGGGACGATACTCTCTTCTGGCGCCGTTTGGATTATCGTAGGATACAAGGAAAGAGGGGCCGGGGCTGACTGTTGTCGAAAGCTCCCTCAGCAAAAAGCCCTCAAATGGGAGCTTCCGAAAATTCGGGGTAACTATTTTGGGCACTAAAACAGGGCCCCTGTTTTCGGAAGCTCCCTAATATTTCCGGCACACTTGCACGTTAGGAACACGCGCACGCAGGGAAACGTGGCACAACGTCGCTAACTTCATATAACCGACTGGGGCAAGAACCAGGGGAGCACGACTCGGGCCAGACTCCATGGGATCAATTCCCTACCAATTACAGAGGGGCCTAAATAACTACGAACAATACTTTGGGGTTCCTATTCCAAATAGAATATAATGGCCCCCACAACCCTCAACTAATTCTTCAGGCCCGAAGCGACTTCGGCAAAAAAGGCTTTCGAGCTCGGGCCCATACCCCCTGTGCCGCCGTGTGTCCGATGGACCACATGAGGATGGCAGGATGATCCTGCCAAAGGTCGTCGGTTTCGAACTCTGGGCTGCGGCTGATTGCTCCCGATTGCATGAAAAATAACCCGGAGACTAACACTCGGCATGCGGTGTTCAGGAGAAACCCTGTTTGCGGGCTTCGGCCGTCTGCTAAAACGTGCTAAAATCACTCCACAAGATGTGTCCGTCAGTGCCAATTCTGCGTGAGATGCCCGGGCACGTCTGTGGCAAATTGGCAAACACAGGAAATTGCCAGCGCATGTGTGCGTGTATAATTGTGCTCAGAATGTAGCTGCGAATGTTTTGATTTGCTATGTATGTGCAGGTGGCTGCGACTTCGCTGTTTTGTCTGTGTGTATAGCTACAACCTAAGTCTTAGCCTGAATAGACTCACAAGCATAAGTGCAAACAAGGAACTACATGTCACAGATACAGCGTTTATCATCATAGTTCTCATCGTGCCGTGCTTACCTACCTATCCGTGCTTGGGGAAGTGCTTCATGTGTATGCATGCATACTTTCATACATGCATGCATGGCAGGAAGTATGCACGCATCCACTTGCATGTCGGTGTGTGCACGTGTGTTTATGCATGTGTGCCGGGCGCACGTGTTTGTGTTTCTCTGTATGCACAGGTATATGCAACCAAATTTATTCTTCTCTCGTGTGTCAGAATCACTCACGTATTTGTACATAAGCAGATATTATCATGCGCATACTTCTGAATAAGGAAGATGTGAATGTGTGGCGTAAATATGTGTATGTATGTACCATCATCATCATAGATGCATCTCTGCCACGGTTGCTGGCCGGCGCCAGATTGAACACATGCGCAAACATAGTCACAAATCGCACAAGCATGCGTCTTTGCACATGCATCTGCCTTTGACAAGCCTATCTTTGCACTTCAGATCGAGAGCATGTGGGAGTTTCCGAAAATAGGGGACCCTAATATTGTACTCAAAATAGTAGGACCCTGATTCAAAGGACCCCCAAAATACTCCTAATTTTCGGAAGTGTCGCAGGCCTTCACGGCCTTCACGGGATTTGCGGCATCTCTCGCCGAGGCACCGCCCCAGTTGTAAACGCTGTTCACAACCCAAATGCCTGAAGGGGTACAGGCTCCAGTTCTCTAAACCGACTACATGAAGATGCAGCTTTCGATTCAAAGGTAGATAGACTTATGGGAGCTTCCGAAGATAGGGGACCCTAATATAGTACCCTGTATATAGCAGGAGCCCTGTTCTAAGGACCCCAAATTTTCGGAAACTCCCTTATCATAGCTCGACCCCTCGGATAGATATTCTTCGTGTGTCGCTTGGAAGGCCTCGGCTCCAAAGCGTGTCCAGGATCCATGTCTCGGTGATGGGCTCGTATGTGCGGACCTGGTACTCGTAAGGTTTCGACTCACACACTCGCACAAGGCAGGCATGGGGTTTAGGCTTAATGCCCTAGCCTTGAAACCTCTTGAACCTGTCATTCCTCGAGAGGCCGAGCCGAGCCGGCCCTGCATAAACAAAACATGTCTTCATATCCTATGGCAAATCATGCATCAGCAACCAGGGAAGCTTCGTACACTACACCAATGTTGGGCCGAGGTGCGGCATTGATGCCCATGCTCTGCATAATTTGCGAATCCTGCACACGTGAGCAGCTACAGATCTTTCGCATCAGTTCTATGTCAAAAAACCCATCTGCACAGATGTCTACATATGACTAGTACAAAATATACATATAAATATAGGTCTGTGCAAGGGTATCTGTGCATGTGTATGCAATCGATGACACTGAACACGCTCTGGATGCCCCAGAACTGAGAAAGTTAGCTATTGACATACGTCTGTTCGCTGTTTGGTTTATCATGTCCATGTTGACAAAATGTTACAGAGAGTCAAGGGTAGAGATCCGAGCCTCCTCCACGAAGCGAGCAAAGTCCAGGTCTTGGGGGTGCCGGCCACCTTTGGGAACGGGATTCCAAGCTACGCCCTTGAGGTGGAGCGGCTTGCCGTCAACGAGCAACTGCTTTCCTCAGAAAATATAGACACGGCAGGACAAGGCCCTATGACTCTCTCAGCATCCACACTCGAGGGAGAGGTCTATGGGGTTTCGGCCAGTGAGCACGACCCTCGGAGGGCAGTATCTCAACTACGACATGGTTGCCATTTCAGCTTCGGATCCAACCACCTGAATTCTCGCATCAGGAGAGGGCGTCGGCTCGGGCGTTGGTGCAGGCGGCGCCGGAGGAGCCGGGCAAAACGGCGGGGCGTTCTTCTTGACACATTTGCACAACATGTCCGAGGTGCCCTCGATGGGCTCATCGCAGCGCTTAGTGTACTGTATCGCACAGTTCTCGTTCTGCTCCTCCGCCGCGGCTACACATACGTGGTCGAAACTTTCACAGTACTTGTCGCAGCGGTTACCATAGGGGGCGGTCACCACGAGGGCCATGCAATCGTCGCATGTGACGCCATTGTCCACCTGAGCGGGCATTGCGACCCTGGTTGAGCCACGAAAACCAACTTCAGCAACTGCCTTCTCAGCCCCAAACATGGAGCTCTGCCAGCCATCATGCAATGTAAACACCCTCTGCCAGAGAAGAAACGTGTGAATGTTTCATCAGTTCAACTCCCGGAGCCTCATCACACTTGAATTGGAAGTCGAACACGATTTCCCCAGTCCGCCAAGTACTTTTTGCATGCAGGCCTATTGCGACCAAGTGCTTAAATTCTAGAACTCCCGACGCCGCTCATCAACAATTACGGTCCGCCTCTCTCAGCCGCGATTTTCGCAACAGAAGAGGTACTCCTAACTTGACACGCTGCAAGGCGTCGCATTGATATGCAAATCCCGATGTCAAACCATGCAAGCTGGACTACACTGTAGGATAGCACGTCGATCAGCAATAACCGAGAGCATATTCATTGCCACAATATATTGAAGTAATTGCCGTTCTTGTTATTATTGTGATCCCTTGCGTATCCAAGAATCTACTGGCACTGTCCACCAAAAGCCACTAAAACCCTTGCAGACCTACCTCTCCGGAAACATCACCCGTAAATCGCCTCAAGATGCTCCAAAACAACAAGACTCCAAGCCCTTACATTTTCGCAAAGCCACGGAAGGCCATTGGCTCGGATTTCGGCAGCACGCATTGGGGCTCGGCGTCGGAGGGAGTGGCTCCGGTTCCGGCCAATCGCACTTGGGTTCATCCATCTGGGCGGCGGCTTTTGGGTTTCAACGCTAAGGGCTTACGCTCTCACAACAGCTGACTCAGGGAATTGCTGTCGCTTCGATGATCGTTTCTGCAACACCATCTCCGTGCTCCATCGACTGTGGCATGTGTGGACTCTAGGGCACTTTACTATTAACGCCACAGCACCAAAAACATAAAGCCTAGCATGCCGAATGGACGGAAGGTTATGCCGCCTAGGCCAATACATAGGGTTTAGGACAACGTTGCACCAAGGCGCGGCCCCGGAGTGCATGTTGCATGCCGCACTACTGCAAGGCAAATGTCAAAGGCCAGAAACAGTTGCACATAATGCCACCACTATCGCCATTTTTGGATTATGTCATTTCGTTTGTGCTTCAGCGCTGTGATGACAAGACTGTTCTTATCCTTCGCGCCATTCTATCTCTTCAGGCAGGGCTCCGACTGCGGATGGCGGCAAGTGCAAAGCATATCGCTCGTACCAGTGATGGCCACATCGCATCCTGGCACACGGCCGAGGCAAGCCATGGGAACAATATGGAACAATTAACCAAATGTAGTAGCTTAAGTTCCGCTTGTAACAGGCCGGCACCGAAGCACCGCATGCAACCAGGAGTCTGGAAGTGAACTTGACGGCACCTCCGATCGACATGCAAAGAGTGTGCTGCGAGATGCTGCGAGTGATCCCGAACGCCGAAGCTAGAAGTGCAGCCAAGCAGCAGTTTTCATTGACTTCTTCGGCTGCTTGGTAACAGACGTGGCCGAAGCTTTCGCAGTACTTGTCCTTAGCACATCAGATGGCGGCTGGCTAGGTCCTGCTCTACTAGGAGCTACGGGACGGATCGGTACGTACTGCACACAGATCAAAGCAGCGTCCACCCTCTCAGGGTAGGGGGCATGGGAAAGCTGCTCGTTTTCAGGAAAGGATCGCATCTGCCACCGAAAGGGGCCGCTTCAACCAGGGCCATGCATCCCGAGCCTGGGAAGTTGTTCGAAACGTGCAAACCATTACAGAACCAAGGACTACGAACAACAACGGCGATCACGAAACCAACGACACAGGAACCTAAAATCTGACACCGGCACCGAAAGTCTTGATGCAACAAGTGCCACGAGAAAATAAGCCGACGCTCCGAATCGATGGGCATCGCAATCACCACCACCACCACCGCCGCTGCCGCCGCCGCCACCGCCACCGCCACCGCCACTGCCACCGCTACCACCACCAGCACCGTCACGCCGCTAATACCACCATTAACAGCACCACAGCATCACTCACTGCGACCTTGACATTGATCATAGTGACAGTGGCTTTAAGTCATTACCCGGCCGCCATCATCATTAGTAAAGATAGCACCAGCGAAGAGTGTCGTAGTACTGGTAGTAGCAGTGACCCCTACGGCATTGGTAGCGGCAAGTAGGATTAAAAGAATTAGTAATTATCAAATAATTACTGATATTATGATTAGTATTGTTAGTAGTAGTGGTAGTAGTAGTAGTAGTAGTAGTAGTAGTAGTAGTAGTAGTAGTAGTACTAGTAGTACTAGTAGTAGTAGTACTAGTAGTACTAGTAGTACTAGTAATACTAGTAGTAGTAGTAGTAGTAGCAGTAGTAGTAGTAGTAGTAGTAGTAGTAGTAGTAGTAGTAGTAGCAGTAGCAGTAGCAGTAGCAGTAGCAGTAGTAGTAGTAGTAGTAGTAGTAGTAGTAGTAGTAGTAGTAAGTAGTAGTAGTAGTAGTAGTAGTAGTAGTAGTAGTAGTAGTAGTAGTAGTAGTAGTAGTAGTAGTAGTAGTAGTAGTAGTAGTAGTAGTAGTAGTAGTAGTAGTAGTAGTAGTAGTAGTAGTAGTAGTAGTAGTAGTAGTAGTAGTAGTAGTAGTAGTAGTAGTAGTAGTAGTAGTAGTAGTAGTAGTAGTAGTAGTAGTAGTAGTAAGTAGTAAGTAGTAAGTAGTAAGTAGTAAGTAGTAGTAGTAGTAGTAAGTAGTAGTAGAAGTAGCAAGTAGCAAGTAGCAAGTAGCAAGTAGCAAGTAGCAAGTAGCAAGTAGCAAGTAGCAAGTAGCAAGTAGCAAGTAGCAAGTAGCAAGTAGCAAGTAGCAAGTAGTAGTAGTAGTAGTAGTAGTAGTAGTAGTAGTAGTAGTAGTAGTAGTAGTAGTAGTAGTAGTAGTAGTAGTAGTAGTAGTAGTAGTAGTAGTAGTCGTAGTAGTAGTAGTAGTAGTAGCTAGCAGTAGCAGTAGCAGTAGTAGTAGTAGTAGTAGTAGTAGTAGTAGTAGTAGTAGTAGTAGGCACGCCCCCCCCCTACCAACTACACTTGCTCTCAACCATGTTAAGACAACATCCATTTTACTCGGTATTTACGGCACTTTCGTCATGTGCGATCATCCTAAGAGGCCCAAAAATCGACTTGTCGAGTTTGCAAACTCGGGCTCTTGATTTTGGACTTGCTTCTGGGGGTGGGTGGGGGGGTGGGGGGGGGATGATGACGACAGTGTTACGCGAACACACCCAGCAGTATCACCACAAGAGCCGTTTAACTCGGTATTTACGGTACTTTCGTGATGTCAGACTTTGTTACATATTCTGAGCCCCTACTTCTCGACTATGCGTATTAAACTTTGCTGTTTGGAACTGTTTGCAAAAAAACTCGAAATTGGGTGGGGGAAAGCTTCTTCGGGGATGATCACGACACTGTTTTGCGGACACCCTCAACAATATTTCCACACTCAAGCGCGCACACACCACACACACCAATTCAAAAACAGACCCTCCTACGCAGAGGTTGGGCGGTAGGGGTGTTGGCGAGCCCCCTCCCACGTACAGCTGGCATCTTTGTTTTTGATGTTTCGAAGATGTTGCGCTTCAGGTTTTAGAAATGTTAAACCCTTCTTGGCAGCACCTGGGTTTTGCACGGTATTTACAGCGTTTTCGTACTATCCGACCACCTGGGGTTTATCAGTTTCTTCCCCGTCGAGCTTGCAACTCCAGCTGCTGTCGCAGTTTTGGGGCCTGAGCCCCTGCAACTTCACCGGCTGTGACAGTTAAGGAAACTGAGCCTCTGCAACTTCTGCAGCTGTCACATATAAGGAGCCTGAGCCCGTGCATCTTCTGCAACTATCGCAGTTAAGGCGCCTAGCAGCTACCGCTGCCCAGCCCGGATGGAACGAGTGTAGTTGGGAGGGGGGGGGGTGGCTAGTCGTAGTAGGAGGAGGTGAGGACGAGGAGGAGGAGGAGGAGGAGGAGGAGGAGGAGGAGCAAGTAGTAGCAGTAGTGTCGGTGTTGGTGTTTTGCCTCCCGCCTGGCAAGGACGAACCTACGATGCAGGGTCTGTTACTGGCTCACTCCTCTATTCAGCATTGATGTTGGTGCTCTTATTATTGTTCTTGTTGTCGTTGTCGTTTCGTGTTACTTTTTCTTGTTCTGGCTCTCGGTCTTGTGCATGTTCACGATACTGTAGGCCTGCTATCTGACTCCCTGAGGCTTATGGCCTTAGATGTTGCGGACAAGCTGCATTGCACCTTGTCGGTGTTCGGCCACGACTCGAAAGCCGCACAGCAGGCGGCTTCGCTGGTTGGACTTAGAGGAATTCAGGCCAGGCTGGCTGGCTGTCCTGCTTTGTTTGCACCTCCTTCGACTGCACCCGCAACACGAGCGTCATCCGGAAAGCGTCCGCTTACAAAGATGGCTGCATGGTGCAACTTATGCGATTGCTGGATGCACCAAGCGGCCCTGCGCGTTGCAGCTGAACTCCGGGCCGCAACCAAAAGTTGAAAGGGTGGCCTGCCAGCATTCACGAGGAACTCGGGTCTGTCTGTATTGCTTGTGTGGCACAGTGCCGTTCTGTGCTAGTCGCCACACTTCCGTGGCTCCAAATTACATCCGAGGAGTTTGGGTGGCATCTCTACAAAGTCAGAAGCAATGCCCAGGGCCTTGCCGGCACTTTTCTTTGCGCACGTTCCTGGGTGCAAACTTCTTAGGGTTAAGGGTCGAGTCGGCATCTGCTCTTCAAAACCGACCCGCCCGGACGTTTGCGAACCTCTACAAAACAACGTCGAGATGCTTCCGCAGCCAACACGTCTTCTTGGGCGCATGTTCATCGCCCTGTGGCATGACGACCCCTTGGCATTCAGGCTCCTGCACATAGACGATGCAAGCACCCTTCTCTCTTTAACCCTAATCACTCCTTTAGGGGTCTTAATAATTAGAATAGGGTTTTGGGGCCCATTGTACTGTATTTATGAGGAGGAACCCCCAAAACAGAATCGGTAATTACTTACTTAGGCCCCTGCATTACTTCTTCAGCGTCCTGGAGACAGGCTTCCTGGCACTCTTGCAGAGTGTACTGCCCCAGCAGCGGGTCGGTGTCAAACTCGTCCGCTCCATGGTGCTTCCAACCTAACAGTCTCAGTAATTACTATCGGGGGCCCTTGATATTTAGAAAAGGGCTTCATAGGGTTCCCTTACATAAGGGGGTTACTTTTTAGGGATCTATAAGAGCACAATGATTACCGCAACTCCATAGCGTGAAGATCGGAGTTCAGGGTGCATGTCAGCATCTACAGAAAGAATCCTTAAGCCCCAAACAGCCGCAACATGCTCTAAAAGATCAGCTGAGGGGCAGTTCATACCCCAGAAGACCTGCCAGTCTTTCCTGGAGCCACTTGTCGTGGTTGGCTCTGTAGGCAGTGCTGTGGAGGTCGTCGTCTCTGTGGGCACCTCTGGTCTCGGTTTGTCGGGCATGACGCAGGTACCTCCTACAGCCCATACAGTACTTTCCCACTGCTACATGAATTCAGAACAGCGAAAGAATTCATACTTTCAGAGCTACTTGGCATGGCCCAACGCTGGCAAATACTCAAGACCATTCCTATACGCGGAAGTATGTACTATACGGGTAGGCACATGAACCTATACAGAAAAGGCCCTGAGCAATGTCTGCCTTCTTTGCAACCCTGAGCTTCACCATTGCTACGGTGCCGCGCCTTTTGTGGAGGATGGCCCTTTCACAGCCCTGCTTTCTGCACATGCATCGATGCATCCAGGCTGACGACGGGGCGGCATGAGGTGACGTGTTAAAGGCATCTATTTCAATTTTAGCTTCTTCGGCTTTAACTAGGGGGATGCTTCTATAGAACCCTGCAGTACCCCATGCCTTGAGGCACACCGAGTCGTCGTCTTCGGCGCTGGTCTCGATTCCTGCGCAGTGGCTTGCCAATTTGGTCCCATTTAGAAGGGGCCCCCACCCTGTAATAGTGACCATAAGGGTTATATAGGATTATATTAGGGCCCTATCATATTCCTATTATACCACTATTACAGGGTGGGGGCAGCTTCTAAGGTCCCATCCGTCTTGGACAGGGCTCCGGCTCAACAAGTTAGTCTTGGGTCGTAGGTGATGATAGACACGCTTGAGTACAAAAGGTGAACAGCTCTACAACAAACTCAAAACACCTGTAGCTGTGCACATGTGCAAGATTCATACACACAGAGCACTTTCAATGACCCTAACTTGATCATTACGGTAGTTTCCGAGAATTAGGGGTACCTCATTTTGGTGTCCCTTTCAGAAGGATCCGACCAAGGGTCCCCTGCTTTCGGGAACTCCCTTATGAACCTTTTCTGCGTCAGGACTTGCGCCATCGCCTGGGGGTCAAAGCACACGAAGGTTTAGCTCTCTCTGCAGTTCCACGCTTTTCGGGAAGGGGGGGCCACCTCAAACACAAACAAAACACGGACGATCCCTAGCAAGCCCTAAGCCCTTAACATCCCTTAACACTCAAAAGGAGACCGGAAGCCTTGAGCCTAGCAGATTACACGCCTTTGAAGCCCTCCCTAAACCCCTAAACCATATATGAGCCTACACCCTAAGCCCCTACTACACTCTTCAACGGAAGTCCTTCCGGTCGTGTCCAAACTTCGCAGCTGCCAGAGCTGGCGAAACTGATACCCTGCTGCTTTCGGAGTTTGGGTGTTCAGCTTAGGAGCTTTGGGGATTCTTCTGGGCTTATAGACACTTTAATAATAGTAATAATGATAATAATACTAATAATACTAATAATAATAAGAAGAAGAAGAAGAATAATATTAATAATAATAATAATAATAGTAATAATGATAGGTCTTTGTAGGAGATTGTGCTCAGCTTTGTGCTGCTCGTTGTTAGGGGCTTAGGCGGTCTGAGCAGCACAATTAAGAATCCAAGCCCTGATCCCTGGACTGCACTGCACCTCCCGGACCCTGAAACTGTATTACGGTTTAGGGTTTAGGGTTTAGGGTTTAGGGTTTAGGGTTTACCCTGTCCAACTGTTCCCATGTCCAACGGTTCAGCCCGAACCCTGCAACCCCCAACTTGGAAAATGATTGCTCATAACCGTTATGTCATAACCGCGAGGAGAACAGACCTGCCTTTTTCTCTCTAGAGTTCTTGGGACCTACAGTTTTAGAGTCTTTGCCCTCAGGCTTTGGGGAACGAAGCCGCCTGGCATGCCGGATGCTGCACGCACGCAGCTTTGCATTCCTCAAGTGAGCCGGCCGCGCTGGCCGTGTAGTAGGCCGCCTGCATAGGGCTACTGTAGGGGACCTGGGCCTTTCATGGTTAGAATGGGGTTTTGGGGCCCGTTCTACTTCATTTATATTAAGGAACCCCCCAAAATAATGTTGGTAAATATTTAAGCCCCTATATTACGTGGCACACTCGGACAACCCAGGTTTCGGGTGTACGCTCTCGCAACTCGGACTCTGCCAGACGAGGTCTCTCGGTCCACAAGCACATTGACTCGACTACAACCCGCATGACATTGTTGAGGGTCTAAGCCCTGCAGTCTGACTAAGACACCAAATTCAGGTGGTCACAAGTACACATGGGAGTTTCCGAAAATAGGGGACCCTAATATAGCACCCTAATTAGTAGGATCCTTGTTATAAGGACCCCAAAATAAGGTACCCCTAATTTTCGGAAACTCCCACATTTGCTCCGTCTGCAAGATGAGCGACTGACGATGACGGCCATCAGGGCTGGGGCTGCTCTGGCCATAACTGCCACTAGCTGAACTACCACGAACTTTAGTTGCTGATAGTAGTAGTAGTAGTAGAAGTAGTAGTAGTGGTAGTAGTAGTAGTAGTGGTAGTCGTAGTAGTAGTAGTAGTAGTAGTAGTAGTAGTAGTAGTAGTAGCAGTAGTGCCCGTAGCCGTTTCCGCAATCATTGTCAAATTGGGGAATGTGCTTGGGCTCCTCCTTGTCGAAGGCATGCTTGCCCCGGCAACTTTGGCCGTGGCCGCCATTCACCGCCACAAAGTTCTGCAGGACAGACACGTCCTCAGAGATGAAGCGAAGGTTAGGGCTTATAGGGTTTAGGGACGGTGGTGCTCATCCGAAACCCACAGTCGGGAGTTTAGATTCATGGGAAGACAACCATCAGACCGAACTGGGAGCATGTGTCTAGATTCAGGTCTGCTTGTTTTCATGCATATACACACATTCATACGGTGTGGTATAACACAACATGCCACAATAAGCTATAATGTAAGGCAATTTAGCATATAATAACTTAAACTTAAACTACAAGATAAGAATCTTGCAACGCATTGATACAATGTACAAATATACAATATACGTATAACATAAATTCACAGGCACACACAAACAAACAAACAAACAAACACCCACACATGTGTATACATATATATATATATATATATATATATATATACAATTATATATTTACATATATATATATATATATATATGTATGATCTACATATATATATATATATATATATATACATATGTACACATATACCAATATAGTACATGTATGTAGGTATGTCTGTCATGTATATGTATACCGCTCCAAATAATCATGTACATGCATGTATGTATGCAGTAACTGTGCGGGGAAGCAAATGGGAAACTGAAAAGTAGGGATGCAAGCGAGTCCGTTTGCATGTCTGTGTGCAGGTATATGTTTAGGTATGTGTGCATGTGTGCATGGTGTGGAGTGGTATGGTATTTACCGTATGTTATGCAATGTGTAACGATGTGTACTGTTTTGTATGTATGCGTGTGCGAATGTGCAGGTGCATGCGTGCGAGTATATATATATATATATATCTTTCAAAGTGTGTAGTCTTTGCAAGGTTTTACAAGCGGATGTAGCATGAGAATGAAACCCTGATTTCATTCTACCGTACACCATCGGTGAACCGCAGCTTACCCAGCAGGACCCATGAAATCCATCAAGCTTCTGGGACGAGCCGTAGGCATGTCGAACCTCGCAGAGCTGGAATGGGAGAGGCGCCGTCTGCCGGGCTTAAAGGCCCATCAGTGGGCATAGGATGGGTTTAGGGCTTATGGGATTGGGCTTTCGGCTCCCTCTTCTTAGAGGCCTGCAATCAAAAGCACGCAAGGTCGTCTTGGTTACTTTTTTGAACACCTATTTCGGTGCAGGCCCACGAGCGTCCATTTCTATCTACTTCGAAGGATGGCAATGTCGAACCGCTCCCCTCCGGCTGATGTAGAGGCCTCTTCTCAAGAGATCAGGTTCCAAAGCTCGACTCCCCATGGAAAATACATGGAGCACTGTGAGCTCGTGACACGGACTCACAGGTCCGACAAGGAGATCGGCTCAGGGGTTGCTGACCTGCGAGAAGCCCTCGACGTGGAGCACCTGGGTTGTACCAGACAGGAACGCCTTTTATATACTATATCAATCTATATCACTATATTTCCAAAGTCAGATAACTTCCTTTGACACGTCCAAAGGACCCTATTGATTTAAAACCTATTCATATATATATATATATACATATATGTATATATACCCGTCAGTTAACTTAACCAAAACCTGTATATGCTTAAGGCAACCCACACAATCATACAGAATCTCAGTGCGCAGACACCTCGCACTCCCAAATCCTCTATGCTTATCCTTAAGCTAACCGACAGAAAACTATTGCTATCCCTAAACCCTGAACCCTTTGTGCAGCAGGCCTCGTTGTCTAGCAGCCCGGTTACAGCAAACCCTGAACCCTAAACCCATATCCGTAAGGCAACCTACAGAATACTATTGCTCTTATTATGATTACTACTACTACTACTACTACTACGACTACGACTACGACTACGACGACGACTACGACTACGACTACGACGACGACTACTACTACTACTACGACGACGACTACTACTACCAGTACTACTACCAGTACTACTACTACTACTACTACTACTACTCCTACTACTACTACTACTACTACTACTACTACTACTACTACTACTACTACTACTCCTACTCCTACTCCTACTGCTACTGCTACTGCTACTGCTACTGCTACTGCTACTACTACTACTACTACTACTACTACTACTACTACTACTACTACTACTACTACGACTACTACGACTACGACTACAAGTACGAGTACTAGTACTAGTACTAGTACTAGTACTAGTTCTAGTACTACGGCTACGGCTACGGCTACGAGTACGAGTACGAGTACTAGTGCCGGTACCAGTACCAATACCAGTACCAGTACTACTACTACTACTACTACTAATACTACTACTAGTATTATTACAGGTGCAAGCACATCCAAGGCCGGATGATTATCCTTAAGCTAAGCTAACCTACAGCAAGCGACTGCTATTACTATTACTATATAGGAGTTTCCGAAAATAGGGGTACCTTAATTATTCTGGGGTCCTTATAATAAGGATCCTACTATTTAGGGTACTATGTTAGGGTCCCCTATTTTCGGAAACTCCCATAATACTCTTACTCTTACTTACTATGCCAGATGCAGACACCAGGGCCGGATGAGCTTAACCTACATGCAACCCTAAACACGAAAATCCTGAACCCTGAACCCATACCCTTAAGGTAACCACAGAATACTATGGCTCTTACTATTGCGATTATTGCTACTACGAGTGTTAGTAAATAACAGTGGCATTATGACAGGCGCAGACACCTCCAGGGCCGGATGAGCTTAAACTACATATAACCTTAAACACCAAAATCCTGAACCCTTACCACAGAATTAAGGCGCAGACACCTCCAGGGCCGGATGGGCCTCTATGCTTAACCCTAAATTAAGCTAACCTACATTGCTATTACTATATGACTCTTACTCTTTCTCTTACTATGACAGACGCAGACACCTCCAAGGCCGGATGAGCTTAAACTACATATAACCTTAAACACCAAAATCCTGAACCCTTAGTATGGCAGACGCAGACACCTCCAAGGCCGGATGAGCTTAAACTACATATAACCTTAAACACCAAAATCCTGAACCCTTAGTATGGCAGACGCAGACACCTCCAAGGCCGGATGAGCTTAAACTACATATAACCTTAAACACAAAATCCTGAACCCTTAGTATGGCAGACGCAGACACCTCCAAGGCCGGATGAGCTTAAACTACATATAACCTTAAACACCAAAATCCTGAACCCTTAGTATGGCAGACGCAGACACCTCCAAGGCCGGATGAGCTTAAACTACATATAACCTTAAACACCAAAATCCTGAACCCTTAGTATGGCAGACGCAGACACCTCCAAGGCCGGATGAGCTTAAACTACATATAACCTTAAACACCAAAATCCTGAACCCTTAGTATGGCAGACGCAGACACCTCCAAGGCCGGATGAGCTTAAACTACATATAACCTTAAACACCAAAATCCTGAACCCTTAGTATGGCAGACGCAGACACCTCCAAGGCCGGACGAGCTTAAACTACATATAACCTTAAACACCAAAATCCTGAACCCTTAGTATGGCAGACGCAGACACCTCCAAGGCCGGATGAGCTTAAACTACATATAACCTTAAACACCAAAATCCTGAACCCCTAGTATGGCAGACGCAGACACCTCCAAGGCCGGATGAGCTTAAACTACATATAACCTTAAACAACAAAATCCTGAACCCTTAGTATGGCAGACGCAGACACCTCCAAGGCCGGATGAGCTTAAACTACATATAACCTTAAACACCAAAATCCTGAACCCTTAGTATGGCAGACGCAGACACCTCCAAGGCCGGATGAGCTTAAACTACATATAACCTTAAACACCAAAATCCTGAACCCTTAGTATGGCAGACGCAGACACCTCCAAGGCCGGATGAGCTTAAACTACATATAACCTTAAACACCAAAATCCTGAACCCTTAGTATGGCAGACGCAGACACCTCCAAGGCCGGATGAGCTTAAACTACATATAACCTTAAACACCAAAATCCTGAACCCTTAGTATGGCAGACGCAGACACCTCCAAGGCCGGATGAGCTTAAACTACATATAACCTTAAACACCAAAATCCTGAACCCTAGTATGGCAGACGCAGACACCTCCAAGGCCGGATGAGCTTAAACTACATATAACCTTAAACACCAAAATCCTGAACCCTTAGTATGGCAGACGCAGACACCTCCAAGGCCGGACGAGCTTAAACTACATATAACCTTAAACACCAAAATCCTGAACCCTTAGTATGGCAGACGCAGACACCTCCAAGGCCGGATGAGCCTCTTTATCGAAGCCCCGGAGGTCATCCGGGGCCGGCTGCGCCGTGAACTCGGAGGCGAAGTTCGCTTTGCAGTCGGGCTGTGGTTTCCTGGGTACCATTAAAAAAAAAGGGTTATTTAGGGTTTAGGTTATTTAGGTGGGTTTAGGGTTCTTTAGGGTTTAGGTTATTTAGGTGGGTTTAGGGTTATTTAGGGTTTAGGTTATTTAGGTGGGTTTAGGGTTATTTAGGGTTTAGGTTATTTAGGGTTTAGGGTTGTTTAGGGTTTAGGTTATTTAGATTAGGATTTGGGTTTCGGGTTTAGGATTATTTGGGGTTTCGGCGCGCACAATCTTATTGGAGGTCAGCTGAGCGAAACTGTACAGACTTTCGGGGGTGTCGAAACAAGATGAAACAGTTTTACCGAAGACCAACGGTCGGGCTTCGACTCACATCGGGTTTATGGTTTCGGGCTTAGGGTCATAAAGACTTATGAAGTCGCTCTAGCTTACGATTCACGAACGCTGCATTATTGATAAGGTGTTAGGCTTTAGATCTTAGGTTCTATGGCACCATGATGGGGATCAGAAGCTGTTCTTACTACGGTAGCTTCTTCTGCGGGCTGAATAAGAACCCAGCTTCACCGGCGGAAAGTTCGGAAAGCAATCTTGTGGCACTCTTCTGTAGACCTTGTTCCAGTCCACCTCGCCGACCCAAGCTTGTTCTTTGACCTCCAATGCGCCGAGCTTGGTGCCAATGCGATCTGCTGGATCTGGCTGCAGCAAGCCCGTCAGGAGAGTCTGTGCATCCTGGCTTACCCAAGGCGGAAACTGGACGGGCTCGCCCTTCACCCGCTTCTGGATCATGGCCTTGTAGTCACCCTCGTAGTGCGGCAGGGATCCGGTCAGAAGGCAGTACAGCAAACAGCCAAGGCAGTAGTAGTCCAGGGGGAGGCCATGGCCTTGTCTTGCAACCATCTCAGGACTCAGGTAGCCGGCAGTTCCCACAAAGGAGGTGAAGAGTGCGGAGTTGGTCAGGTTGTCCTTAGACAATCCAAAGTCGGTGAGCCGGATGTGGCCCTCATCGTCCAGCAAGCAATTCTCTGGCTTGAGATCGCGATATAAAATCTGCTGGGAGTGCAAGTACTCCAGTCCCAGCAAGATCTCACAAAAGTAGAACTTGCCGTCAGCATCTTCGAATCGGCCCCGATGCAGCATGTGGAAAAACAGCTCTCCACCTCCGCAGAAGTCGAGAACCAGGAAGAGGTGTGTGGTGGTTTGAAACGCCCAATGCAAAGAGACGACGAACGGATGCTGCAGTCGCGCGAGAATGCGCTTCTCTGTGATGACCCGCTGAAGCCGTTGCTCCTGCTGGAACAGACGCTCCTTGCTCATGACCTTCACGGCTCGGAACTTCCCCGTCGGCTTATGCCGTGCCTGCAGTACGCGCCCCGATCCACCGACTCCAACTACACGCACAATGTCGAAGTCCTGGATGGCGTTGCGCGCCCCTTCCGCAAAGCCCTTGCTGGCAGCAGCGTGCCCCGATGCCCGAGATGTTGTTGAGTCTCCTGGAACCTCGAACACGGCCTCGAAGCACTCACCGTCCCCCAGCGCCTCCTCAAGGGGAATGTCATAGTCCAAGATGAGCTCATCTCCCTGCAACGCTTCCTTGCCGCATAGAGACCCACAGGCGGCAGCAACTGCAGAAGGGTTTAGCGCCTGTGCCTCCTGCTGAGCTGTGCGCAAGACCCTCAGCCCAATCACTCGCGGTGCCTCTGGACGCTCTGCTGCGAGCTTGCCTTGCAGCTCCTGAAGCAGCGAGTAAGCCGTAGCTCCTTCCGCCACATCGAAGGCCATCTCGAAGACGGAGTCCGCACCTTCGCTGCCCTCGAATCGGGTCACGATTCGCGTGTTTTTGAGTGGCGCACGCTTGGCTTTGTGCTTGTCCGGAGCGCAGCAGTCATCGTCGTCCTGCCCTCTCAGCCGGCCCAGGACGGCAGTCGCCGTGCTGCCGGAGCTCTGACCCATGGCAACAGAGGGTTGAGCGAGGGAGTGCAGTATGCCGAATACTCTTGCAGGGGCAGGGCTGCTAGCGGTCCTGTACCGGTACGCCTGAGACCATTCTACTTTAAGAACCTGTTTGTAGGGGATCCAAACAATTCTCGTGGAGTGCAGGATGTTGTTCTACTCTGTATCTTCGGACCAGCTGCATAAAGGTGGAGCATCTGCGGCTTGTTCGCGTGAATCCGACAGACTCTAGAGTAATTTTATGTGGGTTTCCACTATTTCGATGAGCCCCATCGCCCCATGTTGCGTTGACTGTTCGGGGGTCGGGTGTGCATTGATGTCGGGTCTCGAGTCTCGAGCTCGGGACCCTTCCCCCCTGCAGCCGCCTGAGCTATGAAGGCTGCCGCTGATGTGCTGCGTCCAGACGCGGCAGCCTGGCTTCGCAGATCTGCAGCTCATCTAGTAAAAACTGCCTGTAACTGGCTGTTCATGGCACGGCAAACTGGAGGAAAGTTCCACAGCTGTTCCCAGCACTTGCGGGCCCTGAGGCCTAGAATCGATGCAAGTCTGCAGCCAAGGCACGGCTACCGCTCCAGTCAAGGCCCTGGCCCAAGATTGGCAACATGTGCAATGTTATAGTATTATATATTATAAATATATATATATATGTATATATATATATATAGAGTATTAGTGACATTTCATGGTCATGTACGATGCAGTGCCGCCTTCGGCAGTTCAAGTGCTGCGACAAACCAAACCTGGCCTTGCAGTCAGGAGTGGCCAAACAGCGATTCTTGCAATCCTCCAAGCTCCTTTCCTGAGGCTTGCAAACTAAAGCGGTGGGATCATAGTGGATATTTGCAAATGGCGCGTCTGCACCTACATGCACACTGCACGCAATTCAGCACCCCTTCGTGCCAAGCTACCGCAGTCTCCTTGCTCGAATCCGTGGCAGAGATGGTCGAAGGCCTTTCTTTCACCATGCGCAACTTTCGGTTCTGAAGGCTGATGTGTATGTGCTTGTATGTGCGCGCAAGTGGGTGCAAGCACTTGCAAAAGTTGAGATTACCTCGTGTGTTACCTGGAGAGGCTGAAAGCCTTGGTGTGCGTCATTCGGAACTCAAGTGGGCCTTGCCTTTGAGGAGCCTGCTGCTTGACTTGACTGTTCTGTTCTTCTATGACATGACTGCATACATATCTATACAAACGTGTGTGTATATCTATATATACACATACATACATAGGCATACATACAACAGAGTTTGGTTTGTATTATGCCACCTTTCGACCTACTTGTCCATCTATCTTCTGCTTCATTCTGTTCCACAGGTAGATACACGACTGAACACATGGAAAAAGGTTGCGTGTATGCATGTCTACATGAACATATGCATGTATGTTACAAATGGAGGTGGCCTTCGCATGGCATTCGTATCCGGAAGCATGTCGAAATGGATGCAGTCTGCAGCATTTCTGCCAGAGGCTTAGTGTCATATCAGAACGGTAACATGGGCGTGTAATTATCACCTTGAGGTGGACCATTGATGACCATTGTTAAAGAATTTCCCCACCTCTAAACCAATGCAAAGTAGCCCGGTGCAGGACTTGTCGACCCCGCCGTGAACAGGGAAGAACTCGGGCTCTTCCTGTCCTCGGATGTACACGGTCTTTTTCAGGCTTTGTAAGGGGAACTCTTGCGGTTCTGAGGTTTAGGATTTCGGCGCTCGCACTCGCACTGTAACGGCGAGGCGATTGCGAGCAAGGTCACTGGGACCACCACTAGCATCATGTCATGCTCTCTGCCTTCATGAACCTCTGCTTCCGCAGCATACCCTAAACCCCTAAGCCTAAACCCTAAACCCTACACCCTAATTAAACCCTAAGCCCGCACTGAGAGTCGGCGGAAGAGCATTTCTCAGCTCCGAAGTCGAAATTGACCCCCCAAAGCCCTTATGGCCCTGTATAAACACCTTGGGCATATATGGGAGTTTCGGAAAATTAAGGGTACCTTATTTTGGGGGTCCATAATAAGGATTCTTCCCGTATTGTCGGAAACTCACACGTCTAACAAGTACTGTATCTCCAAAGCCTTGAGCCTTGAGCCCTGCGATCCAAGTGGCCGCCGACTTGAGATCGGCGCGCAATGCCCTTCATCTGCAACCAGGACCTCGTTTTTGTTGGGATGTACTCTACGGGGCCTTGCTACTATAATATATATATATATATATATAGTTTTTTCCGGGGGTGTCTTTATTATAAGTATGGTGTAACGGGCCCCAAAACCTCATTGTAATTAAGGCCCCTGTATTGCTTGTAAGACTCCTAGGTTCATCTCTCTTTGCGGTCCCCGCAGCCTGCTAACCCCAAGCACAAAATGGACACAGGCCTGGGAAGTTGCAGGAATATGACATTCGGCTGACGACTTACATAATGTAGGGGCCTTAATAATAACGTAATAACGGTTTTGGGCCCGGTTATACATAGTTCTAATAAGGAACCCTCCAAAATAGTATAGGTAAATTATTCAAGAATATAAGACCCTGTTTTACGAATCACAAGAGCCAACAAATGCCAACAACATCTCGATTGCCAGAACATCGGACGATCCTTGTCACCCGAAGGGGCTCGCTTTGATCAGAACTTGCGTCGAAAACACCCTCGAACAACCGAGAACTCACCTCTTTGGACACACAGCCGCAACCCCATTCTAGTCATTAAGGCGCCCATTTTCGGTTCGTATGATGCTTTCCGTAGTAGACACTCGCACCACGGTATGCGGATTGATGTTAGCAGAGCCTGCAGGAGAGAGACCCTTCACAGTTTTAGCTTCACGGATAGACACTGCTGGCTCTGTTTGGGGAGAGGGGAGACCGGGTTGATATGAGGCGAACTTATGCTTGCAAAATACCCTCAGGTACTGTTGGGTCTACCCCGGGTCGGATATTAGACCCCAAACCCTGGGTCTAATATCCAAACCCTAGGGTCATGCAACAGGTCATTTTAGACCTTCACGCCTTGGCCTATGATCAGGTCTCTGTTGGGGCCGTTGTGGCTCGGCATTGCTTCAGTACGTTTCAGTTCCCGTTCCCGTTCTGGCCCATGCGCTTTTGCGTGCTAGTCCCCTGCCGGCCTGGCTCCTCCCCGGTCCCAGTTATCGTCTCTGGTTCTGCTTCTGTCCGCTTCGGTTCCGCTGTGGTCTCCGCTCAGCTCTGGAAAGTCTCGGGTTCGTTGTTCTTTTCGGTTCCAAACCGGTTTCGGATCGGATACACCCCGGTTCCTTGTGGCGGTTGGGCTGTGGTTGTGTGGTGCTGGTTTCAGTTCGGATCTTGCTGCGGTCCAATTGAGTTGTTTTTAGTGCGGGGGCCCACTTCCGAGGTCATCCGTCGCCGCCGACCCTGCATAATGTCGCCTCCCAAATGTCTCACTTCGCCTTTAAGAACCTGGGAGGAACCTGGAAAGCCTAATTACCTAATTTTCGTTTTGCGCACGGATTTTTTTCTTATCGATGCGACTCGGGCTGAGTCGGGTTTGGGTTGAGGTGGAACTGTTTTGCTTCGCAGGTCTCGTCTTGGGTTGTCGGCTTGGGGTCGGTGTCTCTGCCCTGTCGGTTCCGGCAGTTCCGTTCGTTTCAGCTCGCATTTTTACGAAGCCCTGGCAACCCTTTATGGAGGTAGAGAAGCACGAATCCAAGAGTACTCCAGGCTGAGTTTCGGAGTTCCGGGTTTGCGGCTTCTGGGTTCAGGCGTTTAAAGTTTCTGGGTTTCTGCGTTTCTGGGTTGGGGATATTTCTGGATCTAAGTGTTTAGGGCTTCTAGGTTTCTGTTTCTGGGCGCTTCTGTGTCTAGGTGTGTCGGGTTGCTGTTTTTCGATGTTCTTCCCGAAACGCAGTTTTTGGGTTATGTGTTCAGGTTTACTGGGTTTCTGCGTTTTAGGGCGCTTCTGGGATTAAGCGTTTAACGTTTCTGGGTTTCGGCCGTATGCTGTCCAGGGGAACAAACCAGGGCACACGGGTACCACGAGCCCTCGCTTACCCATCCATAAGAAAACTGGCCACAGCAGCACAGCGCCGGCTTCCTGTTGTATCCGTCTCGAGGTTCCTATCTTACTCAGACGTCTATATTGGTTTGGGATCTATAGGGTCTGAAGGGTTTGGCGGGTTTGGGGTTCCTGGGTTCAAAACCTTTTCAGATTGTTGGGTTTGGTGATGTTTCTGGGCTTAGGTGTGTAAGGTTCCTGGTCTTTGCGTTTCTGGATGCTTTTGTGTTTACGCTGTTTAAGTTTCTTGGTTTCTGCGTTTTTTGGTTTCTGGATTTGGAGATGTTTCCGGATCTAAGTGTTTAGGGCTTCTAGGTTTCTGTTTCTGGGCGTTTCTGTGTCTAGGTGTTTAGGGTTTCTTTTTTTCTATGTTCTTGCCGAAACGCAGTTTTTGGGTTATGTGTTCAGGTTTACTGGGTTTCTGCGTTTTAGGGCGCTTCTGGGATTAAGCGTTTAACGTTTCTGGGTTTCGGCCGTATGCTGTCCAGGGGAACAAACCAGGGCACACGGGTACCACGAGCCCTCGCTTACCCATCCATAAGAAAACTGGCCACAGCAGCACAGCGCCGGCTTCCTGTTGTATCCGTCTCGAGGTTCCTATCTTACTCAGACGTCTATATTGGTTTGGGATCTATAGGGTCTGAAGGGTTTGGCGGGCTTGGGGTTCCTGGGTTCAAAACCTTTTCAGATTGTTGGGTTTGGTGATGTTTCTGGGCTTAAGTGTGCAAGGTTCCTGGTCTTTGCGTTTCTGGATGCTTTTGTGTTTACGCTGTTTAAGTTTCTGACATGTTTCTGGATCTAAGTGTTTAGGGCTTCTAGGTTTCTGTTTCTGGGCGCTTCTGTGTCTAGGTGTGTCGGGTTTCTGTTTTTCGATGTTCTTCCCGAAACGCAGTTTTTGGGTTATGTGTTCAGGTTTACTGGGTTTCTGCGTTTTAGGGCGCTTCTGGGATTAAGCGTTTAACGTTTCTGGGTTTCGGCCGTAT